AAAAGCAGTTGTCGCGGGAGTTCGAGATACTTTACGGGACGCTCCATGAAGGCTTTTGTCTCTCGCCGGAGAATCCGAGGCGCCGCTCGTTGCTCCTTGTCTGAGGCAGACTCCTAGATCGGTTCGCTGAGAGGCATTCTCGAGAAACGAAAGGATTCCCTAGAACGAATATTAGGAAAATGGAAGCAGACCTATAAGAAGGGCTGTAAGTTTGTCGCGACTTTTCGAAATCATGCCCGATTTCTCCGGGAGGAAGCGGTTTTCCAGGGTAGAGGACCCGGGAAAAACTCCGGATCGCTCCGCCTGTAAGCAACACAAGGATCAGCTTGTGTCATTGAAGCGATCGTAAGGCGGGAATCCGCCACTCCGAGTATCGCCAGATTTGTCGTTCTTCAAGAGCTTGTCTCGAGTTCTCAAATGAGACGTGGTGGAGAATCAATGAATGGGGTATACCTCTGGAGCCAATATATGGTTTCATGAATTTATTCCGAAGAACGCTGCATGTCCCTTATCATGAATTCTCACTATTATTTGCGAATATTCTCTGTCAAATTCTTTCCATGGACACGTGCCGAATCAGGAAACCAGAACATACGCCCAACCTCCAATGGGACGATCAGTAGCACCGATGAGGCTTTTTTCTTATGCTAGATAGAAGTTCGCTGTCATGAGTTGAAGCTGACTGCGGTGAATTATTTTGATGATGAGCTCAGAGTCCGCCTCCACCATTGTGCCAAGCACATCACTCCGTAGAAGCTCGGAATCTGTTGAGATACATTATCCTGTTCCCGGAGTATCTTTCGATGAATCGGGAACCGTCGACCTTCCGAACAACATTGCGAACCCTGGCAAACACGTCTGGTTCCCCGAATAATCATCGCATACCCTAGGAGCACTTCCAGAAAACAGCTGCTATTGCTCTCGACAACTTCCACGGTGATGGACCGTGGAGCCGTTCTGACAAAGATGAACGTGATACGAATCAATGAAATTCTAAGCATTAACTCCGACGTGGAGGAATCAGCGATTAGTTACCGCTATCAGCTTGGTGTCCCAAGCCACCTCCGGTCAAACGAATCGCCGCCTGAGATTACTATCGGATTGGGACCTCGCGGTGATGCACTCCTCTGAAATGAAGACTTCAGTGCTGAGCGAATCGTGCTCCTAGGTGCAGAATGCTCCTAGGTCCCCCTTTCGCAAACAGAATGCTCCGGGGTCCCCCTTTTGCAATCAAGAATTCTCCATACCCGATTCATGAAGACTCGGTTTCGGATCATGACCGAAACATTGCAGATTAGGTGAGAAATTCAGTCATTCATCAATACCATGTATCGACGAATATTTATCTATTTTACGGTATGCATATGCTCAGGTGAAGGAGATACAGAATGCCCTGTGACTCTGATTGATTTTCAGTCAAGTACCGCTAAATTGTAATCTTTAGGAGTAGCCTTCCATCGGTTCGGGCAAAAAAGGCGCTGAATGCCTTTTGGGCTAAAAGTTTGAACTACAAGTGAGAGGATTCCAAACTTGCAGCAGATCGGTCGAATTCCTCATAAGTTGGAGAGATTAACGATATGTATCGCGCGACTTCTGGGATTTCCACGACAGGACTCGACGCCCGTGAGATCGATTGATGGTTCGTATGATGCGTAGAATGGATGTGTCGGAGCGTAGACTTCATCCTCCGCCAGGAAAATCATACGCCCCACGTTGTCAAGTACTGCATTAGGGTCTTTTGCTCGAAACTCAACTATGCTGAGCAGCCATCGTCAGATTCCAGAAATCTAGCATTGATCATTGAGTTCCGATTTCCGACGACGGTCTCGAGGTGAGTCTGGAGACGACGACGCCGTACTTATCGAAGAAACTTGTCGGCAAACCGCTTGCGGTTTAAGCGCGAGCTGGAATACTTCGGAGTTTGGTCATTCCTGGACGGACACTCGACCATTGCATCGGAGCAAGGAGACGATTTCATCAACGTCCAACTGAAGGATGGATATGATAGGGATGCCTCCATTCGAGGGAATGGCGTGAAATCGTCTCCGCTCAGGGGAAACTGTGAGTACACCAATATCTCCGACTTCAAGACAGTATTTTGCTTGCAAGATCTCTAGCTCACATGCGTCCCGGGAGCTTCTGGTCTTTAATGGTTCCCGACACCTCCCTCCAATCGCAATTGACTGCATCAGTACTGTGGAACGTCGCACCCAGCCAGCGGTGGAAGGCTTCACGGTTGTAAACTTTTTCATTCTGTTTGAAGAAGACTTTCTAAACGAAAAATATTTTGTCAGTACTCGTTCCGCTCTGAACCTGCATGGGAAAAAGCTCAATATTGATACCTCATTAATGGCAACCATCCATCGGCTGCCGAGCTCGATAGAATCCTGGAAATGAAATTCTCATCACTCATCATGATACTTCGAGACCTTCGAAGTCATCCTTCCGTCAGAGATCGCCCGAGGGAACTCCAAGTTCCGGACTGGCGCGTTATGCTCATCTTGACGGCCCTCGTGGGGCCAAGCTGAGTGAGCTGTGGCGCTAGTCAGGATAGGAACCAAGATGTCGTCTCCTAGGCAATAGCTTGTCACTCCCAGGATGGAAGGTGGGACTATTTTTTTGGATGGCGAATCTTGCGTATGATGAACTTTCGTTAGTTGAGACTTTTTGCGCAACGAACGGCTATTCACAGAAGAAGTTCCTTGTACGCGAGGTTCATTATTTGCCAAGTTCGTCTCACGCAGAGCCATGGACTCGAGCCATAACCCCGAAGATTTTAGTGACAGGGCGCATCCCTCCAATCCCGAAACCAGCGAGCTTTTTCCCCAAGAGAACTTTCCCTAGGGGAAAACTCTGAAGGAAAAAGCCTCAACTCGTTCGATCTTTCCACAATCGTTTCACGAATCTCTAAGTGTCCAGAAATAGACATACTTGCCCTTCATTAGGATAAGCTCCATATGAATTCCACTCCACAGGCACGGAGCGGCGAAAAAGGCTGGAATTAGCGCGTCCTGACTTCCTGGCGAGACGTCATAGCAACGCTGATCTTGAGTAACCTCCTGACCAAGTCCCCGGCTACGGTCGGAACGCAGTAACCAGAGTCATGGTCCACGTGCAAGGAAAAATATCGAAATCTTCCGAACACGATGAGACCGTCATGAGATTAAGCGGGAGTCGGTAAAAGAGACGACCATCACCCCGGGCTCGGGTCAGTCCTGAATGAATCGAATAATATACGATCTTCTGGGGGTGCCGCTCCAAGAGAAAGCCTCGTGGGCGGGATATTCTCGCACCGACCGGCCTCTGGCTGGCCCCCGCAGCGCTCGTCTTGGCGTGAATGACTGCTGGCTGGATGGTGTTGGAGGTGCTCTGGCTCGTAATTGCGTACGGATTGTTTGGACGCTACTCGGAGTCAATCAGTTGACCTGTCGGTATTCTCTGTCTCTCATATTGGGATCGTCGAGCGACTCATTCGATGATTAGAGAAACTTCTGTTCAGCCGGACATGCCCGCTTCCTGTCCGTTTGTACGGTTCTGCGCGGTTTCGCGATAAATGTCTGGTTTCACGGTTGAGAATCTTTCGATCGGACGAGCTAATTGGGGAGCTATGGCCCTCAACTATCTTATCCTGTCAAAACTCCGCTCCACAACACAAGCGATCCGGCACTAGCGGTCCGGCTCGATCGAATATCGAACTTTCGGAATGATTCTCACAGCGATCGTTGAGTTCAAGCTTCGAACGATACAGCTTGAAGTTCCCCGTTCAGTCGAGTTCGCTCTGAGCGGACACTCCGAGAGAAGGCTGACAGGAATCTCGGGGAGAAAGCCCGATTCTGAGAGCCTCCCGGAAATTTCGGAGAGAAAAACACAGATTCACAGGTTTGCAATTCTCGCCAATGCTAGGGCAGAGAGACCGTTTTCTATGTTCGAGAAGTTCTTATCGATACGCCGGCGTAGTCTCCGGGAGCGGAGCTTGGAAGCGCTTGCTTCTCACCTGTCCAATTCGGAGCGTTGAGTGCCAAGACCCCACGATAAAACCAATATTTCCAAATCTATTTGTCCGGTTTCCTAGTCTGGTCCCTCAAGACATGTTCAACGGTATCGTGCCCGGTTTTTCGGGGAAAAGGGAGCGGTTAAATGGGAGCTCCAATGATCAGTGATCGAGTGAGAAATACGAAGCCATTCGCATATCTTGAGCTACGTGTTTGAGGTTTTTTCGATGAACCGACTTGTCCGACGCGGGTCAATTTTTCAGGGCATCGCCAGATGGGATTCGCGGGTATCTGCTAATGTCAAGCGTCGCAGCGGGCTTGTGATTCAAGAGTCGTTCCAGCAGGTTGCATGATCGCTGATATTGTCGTGGAATCATGGCTCTCTTGAAAGTGAGACCATTAATCGCCTCTGCCCGTTTCCTTTGACGGCCCATTGGTTAACGATTCCACCTTCAATTCCACCTCCGTTTCCAATCAATCGGCCTGGAGCCCTGGCCGCCAGTTCTTGCGGAACGCTCTGATCTCGCCTAGGTAGAAGGCAAACCGTCCACAGCAGCTTCTTTTTCGAACGCGAGTCACCTATGATCTTGGCATCCGCAAGAAGTCGTCCTTTATTAGAATTCCGATTCATCTCCCAGGTTCCGGACCTCCTGCGCGTTTTCCGGGCCCGGACCGGCAAGGACCGAAGTGGATAGACTTACATGATGCGCCGCTACTACGAAGGGCGGGGGAAAAGAAACGAGGAATCTCGAGATTGTTCCGAAATTGAGTGCTTAGAATTTCGAAATATGAGCTCGGCGATAATCGTTCAGACCTGCTTCTTATGAAGTAAAAAAATTGAGTACCTCCCATCTGGTCGAAGAGCACAGATTTATCAAGCGAGCAGCGGCTCGTTCGAGTCGATGCTTTGCTGGCGCTGCAGATGAAGTTCGAATTTTCGCGCTGCTCGCGCGCCCGCTAGGAAGTTCACCGACAGTCGATGCATCCATTCAGCAGATGAGGCCACAGTCGACGACAGGAGGAATCAAGTAGTGTGTGAGTGTGTGGAATAATATTCTCCACTTTTGCGAGGATCCTCGGATTTCAAGCTTGAAAATACATCAAGCTTCTCATTCAGTCTACTGTTCCAACATCTCGGCCGTCCCGCAGCTCTCGGACACGTCGATTCGAGGCCTCGGGCCTGCGAGAATTTTTAATTGCTCCGAAGTTCCTATGTCATTCTGATATGGATACAATCGCAAGCGGAGATTCGATGGGAGGATCTGGAGATCAGGTGAGACCCACGTACGATCCAGGAAAGCCTCGGACGTTTACGGTTAGGAGCGAGCTCGGACACGGCTCGACTTAGCGCTCGCGGAAGTACAGTAATGCTCCATTCTGTCTCTTGCTACGATTCTTCTGCTCTTAACGGTGGTTGGAGAGCTCGGTATCCTCGTCAGATTTCTGACATTTCGACCGGGGAACCGAAGCCTGTGGCTCCAGATTCGCTGGGAGTTAAGTTCCGGACATGGGACCGGGGCAAGGCCCGGAGAAGCCCACTGACTGATCTCACTTCGCCATTGAAACCATAAGGGAGAATTGTTTTTCACGGTCCCGACTCCGTTTCCCCAAGCTCAGGTATTCCAGGCATTCTGATGCCGGAAAACAATTAGCGCTTAGCTTATGGAGCGCGGAGAGATGTTCCCGATGACGCGTGCCGAGTTATTCCGTGCGATAAGATCGGCGATTTTTATCCATATGTATTCTGTGAGATTAGGTAGTTCGACGACGCACGGTCGGGGCGAAGCACTGATTGTCGAGTATACCAACATATGCGGGCGATCCCCGTCCGAATTTGTCCGGCTGCCAGCCAACTCTGTGCGAGGGAAGGAAACGGGCCACCCTGGAATCGCCTAAGGAATTTTCGCAAAGGTTGCATGCGTTGATGACCGTGCACACAACTGGACTTCCGATGGCCGAAGTGGCGAATACACAGACGGCGCACGGTGCGGCGGCGCTGGTGGATGGAAGAAACGTTATGCAATCTTTTGTTGGCAACTTGTTCGTTAGGCTCACAGGATTGTTCTCCGTCCGACGGGCTGGTTTTCTTTTCCCTCCGTTCACTTCTTCTTTTTCGGAAGGTGGTGCTACCGATGCGGCCGTGCTTTTCGGCCAGCTCGATGCCCGTCGACGTAATTGAACGAATCACTGGAGCGCCTCCGAGAAGCGGAAAAAATCCTTATCTTCCCAGCGCCGGCCGCCGAGAGGATGATGAGTTCGTTGATTTATCCGAGGCTTCAGCTTAGGATCTTCAGCACACACATATCGCTGCTGCGGCCGCTGGTTCCGCTGCCGCTGCCGTCTCCGGTTGCGTCATCGCTGTTTATAGAAGTTGAGGATGGTGGTCGTCGCATACTTCTCCCTTTTCTTTTGGAACTCATAATCAGCCCACGAGTCGGTATGGTCAAACGGTCTCACATGGCTCCACCGCCGCCGCGAGTGTACTTTGAACCCGTGATTACGACGAGCGGGTTCGATCGATTTTGCCGCGGCAACTATTCAGGCAGATATCGTTATTATTATTGATATCATTATATTATCAATATTATTATCATTATTCTCATGTGTTTTTTTTAATGCAAATTCTCGCTTGCCCGCGCTCTTATGTCACACTAGCCATCGGTCGTGGCCCAAGTCATGGGTCCGGAGGGACAAGAACGCTCAGAACTAGAAATCGATGTCTGCCCGAGCAGTTACCCAACCAGTCAGACAACTATCTTCCGCATCGATGGCAACGGTGGCGATGTCAGCGGCGGCTGCGCGGCGGGACCGGTGTCGAGTGGAGGAGTCGAAGTCGCCGGCGTCTGCTCCATGCTGTTGACCTCCCCATGACGGCGGCGCGATTTTCTTCTGACGAAGGAGGCTCTCTTCGTTGCAGATGCAGGTCATGGATTTCTTATCGCGGAGAGTACCCATCGAGACCCGGCCGGAAGACAAAGATCACCTCAGAGGAGCCCTCGACTCGTTCGGACGATGTTCGGAAGACGATCAGGTCGCTTTCGTGGAAAAACTCCTCTCCCTCATGGGGCATGATCAGCACTCTCGAGTGTGCTCTACCCTTATGCCAATGTTGCAACGAGACTTCATCTCGTTATTACCCAAGAAAGGCCTCGATCATCTAGCCGAGGGCATCCTATCGTACCTCGACGCGAAGTCTCTGGCTAACGCCCAGTGCGTGTCGCGCGAGTGGTATCGTGTGATCGCCGCCGGCATGCTCTGGAAGAAACTCATAGAAAGACAAGTCCGGTCGGATCCTCAATGGCGCGGTCTGGCCGAGCGGAGAGGCTGGATCAAATACCTGTTCAAGCATAGTCACGGCAATCAACACCAGAACCATCTGTTTTATCGAAAACTCTACCCGACGGTCGTTGCCGACATTAACGCCATCGAAGAAAATTGGAAAAACGGTACGCCCAACCTGCAGAAAATCAACTGTCACAGCGAGAACTCGAAAGGTGAGCCCCAGCCCCCCTTCCCTCTCCACTGACATGTCGCGGATTCATCGTTCTATTTGTTCCCGTGGATTCCGGTCTCATGTCTATGGTCACCCCGCCGCGAGGATCGCCGCTCACGTTCTGAAGTTCCCTCCGCCGTATTTCAGGAGTCTACTGTTTGCAATACGATGACACGAAGATCGTGTCGGGACTCAGAGACAATACGGTGAAAATTTGGGATAGGAGAACGCTAACGAGTACTCACGTCCTCCGGGGTCACGCTGGTAGTGTCCTCTGTCTACAGTACGATGATCAAGTCATAATCTCAGGTTCATCAGACTCGACCGTAAAAGTGAGTTATGGCACTCTCGAATCAATTCACCTACCGACCACTGAATTTTAATCGATCCACACTGGTGCTTCCGACACGGAAACCCTTCAGAGGTTGAAGAATATCTTTCAAGGAATTCTTGGGACATTCCATTTTGGTTCAGTTGAGCTTATTTTCAATGTCTCGTGTTCTCGCAGATCTGGGACGTGAAAACCGGCGATCTCGTCAACAACCTTCTCCACCACTGCGAGGCTGTCCTTCATCTGCGTTTTACAAACGGCATGATGGTTACGTGCAGTAAGGACCGCTCGATCGCAGTGTGGGATCTCGCATCTCCCACCGAGATCAACCTGCGAAGGGTTCTTGTCGGTCATCGTGCCGCCGTAAACGTTGTGGACTTCGATGAGCGCTATATTGTGTCCGCTTCTGGTGACCGGACTATCAAAGTGTGGAACACCTCCACTTGTGAGTTCCTTCGAACCCTCAACGGTCACCGTCGAGGGATAGCTTGCCTCCAATACCGCGACCGTCTTGTTGTGAGTGGGTCTTCGGACAACACCATCAGATTGTGGGACATCGAGTACGGGACGTGTCTCAGAACACTGGAAGGCCACGAGGAGCTGGTCCGATGCATTCGTTTCGATTCAAAACGAATAGTTTCCGGCGCGTACGACGGCAAGATAAAAGTTTGGGACCTCAACGCCGCCCTGGATCAACGGTCGCCCGCCAATCAGCTGTGTATACGTACTCTCGTCGTAAGTACTCGCTGTCCGCCTCGGAACCTTTTCATACGCATCGGCGATTTCGGAGATTCCCCTCCAACCTCCTCCAAAATGCTCGGATCGTCGACAATGAATACCCAATTGCTGAATGACCATAATAATTATTATTATTCTCTAATGGTAATAATTAATCGATACCTTGGCTGCTTTGCAGGAGCATACCGGTCGGGTGTTCCGACTCCAGTTCGATGAGTTCCAGATCGTTTCATCCTCTCACGACGACACAATCGTCATCTGGGACTTCTTAAACGTCGAAGCCCCCACAACTTCGGGAGTAGCAAACTCATCCGATAATGAGAGCAATCCAGAGTCCCCGAGAATGCGAACCGCGTTAGGTTCGATCGACGCTTAGTTTTTGTTTTATGAAGACATTATGAAGAACACTGTTTGAAGCATGATGATGATTGTAAGATCCCAAGCTTAACTCCGGAAGCGAAGCCACGTGTCAACCGCAGCAGCTGCATCATTATTATTGATCGCAGCGGGGAGTAGTTAGAGAATTATTGGAGAAGAATTTATCATTCAGACAAATCCGGTGCGGGAAGAGCCGTGGTAATCGTTTCTCGATCTCGAAACCTTTCGAGCCGAATGTCCAGCTATCAATCCAGCCGCCGTTCGCCACTCCATGTCGCGCCACTCCGAAATGATACATCAAATAGTGCAAGCTGATCTCCTGCTCCGTCGGCCGGCCTGGAAGAGGCCGGCGCGATCGGATATCTTGACCTGCGGGGCGAAAACCTAAAGAAAGTATCGGGATATGTGTTGCACACACAGACATTTGCGATCGACCAGAAGTAAATTCGACAAGAGCTGCTCGCCGACCTTGCCTCGGCTGCTTTATTGATTCGTAGGGAGGAAAAGCCGAAATGAGCCCGGATGAGGCCAAGAGGGACTCGCTGCAGCAGCAAGAGCGACGATGGAGATGTTCCACAGCGTTTTGAAGGACGGGAAGTATAGCGGGTTTAAAAAAGGATCGAGGAAGAATGGAATGGGGAGATGACTTCATATGTGATACTATACTTTGTACGGGACAAGAGATAGGGCGTCGTCGGCTGAAACACATCTCCTCGAGACTTATGTAAGTGTATGAAAACAACAAAAATAAAGTAGACCTAGGTCGACATATCGATTGATTGTCTCGCGACTGACAGATTGATTGACCGACTGATTTCCTGAATTTCGGATTTTTTTTTCATGAGGAGTAATTACTGAATACTCAACGAGTTGCTCGGTGACCTGGTGGGTTGACAGGTCGCTCCATCCATCAATCCCTCCATCGGTCAGTCAGTCGGTTAATGGTCGAAACGGATTTTCGTTCATATCCGTTCGCCTGCTCGTCCCTAAGATATCAACATGAATCCGGGGACTCTCTCTATTTGTGAAGCATGATTACTCTCAAATACCTTGGTCTCAGGACGATGTTCTATTAGTAGAGATTCTTCTCATTCGCGCCCTCCGGGTTTACTGATATTGATGATGATTCAAAGAATGTGCGGTCCTGGCAGGAATTCCAGCTCTGGATCGGTTTGTTTCTCAATGTGTCCGCTCTCACTCGGAGCTCCGAACCCTCGGGAAGGCGCCTAGCGGAAACCCTTGGGCTTCGCAAATATCCGCAATCCCAAATACCCGCGGTCGTCCTCAAGCGAAAACCGAATGTCGAGAGTCGTGGTTGACCGCAGATGACCGCACTCGGTCCGAAGTGTAATCTTTGATGTGAGCGAGTAACCTACATATGTATAAGAAGATATCTGTGTTGAGCTCATTGAGCGAAATCCATTTCAATGAGATGTACGAGGGGATCATGACGATGATCTTCGTAAGCTGATGATTTGCCGGAGACCCATCGCAGAAATCTCGCGAAAATAAAGAATTATCCCAAGTGATACACTGGCGTCATTATTGCTCGCTGCTTGCCTCTCAAGAGGGGGTGGAGCCGAAGTCCCAAAAAACCATGCAAGAGGAGGCGACACAAGAGGAGTATCGTATGAAGGATGCGCACTGTGGACGGAGCGCCTCAACCGAATCACGCTCAAGACTTGAGCTATGAAGAGTGGTTTTCGAAGCAGGGAGTTTCAATTCTCGAGTCTATTCTTTGAGCCGGGCGGAACGACAGAAGTAAACTCAACACCTATCTGGAATGGCTTTCGGGCGCCACGCGTTGGTGAGCGTCTAGGGGAGCGGGGGAAAAAGGGAGTCGACTCGTTGCACCTGTGGATCACGATCTCACAACTCGACAAAGAGCCATGAGACAACGCGACAGCTGCGTTCATGCCCGCTACCATTCCTGGTGGGCGGGCCTGTCTAAGGCCCATATCTGGCTTCATGCAAACGCTGAATTTATGCCGTCGCGAAAATAGTCGGAGAGCTCAACGAGGTTGTGAAAAAAAATATCGAGCAAATGAGTCGCGAGGGAAGGTCATCTTTGTTCACTAATCACGCTCGTGTCGATGAAAGCGCTCGAGCTCTGAGAGTCTGGCCCCATCGAGTGGCTCTCACGATGCTTCTTTTCTGGGCGGGACTATTAACTGACCTTCATATCGTAAAGCCTCCCTCTCTGAGCTCCCTGTAGTTCTCGCGAGAAGTCTCGCCCTGATCCTACCTTGAGGCTAAAGCATCAAATTATAGGAAATGAGCTTCCCTTTGGCGCAAGAACGAAGTGAATATGCCGAAAACGGCGAGAAGAACAGAGAAGCCTCCCAAAGAGGCGAGTAGCCTGAAAGAAAAACTCCACATCTCCACACAAGGTCTCGCGGAAAGAGTGAAGTCTGCTAGGTGCAAAACTCTGATGGCGATCACGACGATAAGTTTCATCGTACTTATGTGCAGCACTGCCATCGCGCAGAGAGCAAAATACGCGGGGCCCACCGCTCTGCTAACGTATTTGTGCACATACTACATGATGAATAATTGCTACGTACTTATGGTGCTTCTGATCTCTGAAGATGGGCAGAACCTATTCCCAATGAAGTTCCTCACACTGCTCCATATGTCCGGCATTTTCACCGCCGTACTCCAAATAATTTCTCTATTGATCGTCACGATTCCCGACTTCGAGCAGACGAAGGACGGAGGACCGACATTCACAACTGGATTTTTCTGCTTGGCGGAAATTTTCGCTGCTGGCGCCTTTCTTGCCGCCGAGTTCAAGCATCGAGACGAATCCAAATCTCTTTCCGGAACTCCGAGGTCACCGGAAAGTCCTGGAAGCCAGGCGAGTCCGAGGAGCATCGCCAGGACCCTCGTTGAGCTCAGAAGTCCGGGAAGTCCTGCGAGAGGGGCTAAACATAAAAGCAGGGCAAGTTCCCCAAAAAGTGGTATTATGAGAGGTCGGGGTCCCTCAGAAACCATCTATCTCCGATCGGATTGTCTCGAAATTCTCGAGCTAGGAAACTCAAGAGTGCCAACGTTCACGGAAACAGTTCTGACCGTCGCGAACTCGAAGTGAATATACGATGTATGGCTGACTTCCCTGGCGGGATCGACCGATTTTCGGATTCTTTGGAAAGCATTCGATCCCTCAAGAGCGTGAACTTGATCGTAGAGCAGAGCGGGAGCGAACGAATCTGACAATCATGACCGAGATACGTGCCGCTGGAGAGAAAGTCGATTTCCATATCCTTTCGCGATCCCACTGGCATGTGAGGACGAAAGTTCAGAAGACAAGGATTCCTGGATTCTTTTGCGGCGTCTCTAGATGTCCCACGGCAGTGCAGCGTCTCGATGAAGGCTCGTGGAGGATTCGTTTTTTTCAATCTCAATTTCATGCAAAGGGTTTGGACACCTTCAAATTATCTTCATGTATATGTAGCGTGATGAATTCGCAAGTCCCCGGACGGAGACTTCCATAAAATTTCTCAAATATCTCCCTCATCGGCTTCGATGACACTGATATTCTCATATAAGTCTCGGAACTCAGTTAATCCTCTCGAGAGTCATCCCCCTGCTGAGAGCCATGTTTCGAAAATATGCTTCCTCGTTCTGTCTGTTCTCGGAGGTCCATGTTCATGACGTTTCAATTCGGTCAGTGAAGTTTTTCCTGAGGAAACGAGCCGGTAGGAGCTCTTCTTTCGAGTCACATGCGCCCTGACTCGGACCTCTATCAGACGAGACAGATGTGCGCCGGAAATCGCTGTGTGGGGTCGAACAGTGAGGAATAGCTGTGCCATTCCCCCAACATCGTTCTCTGCATGTACGGAATGCAACTCACAATCTACCTATCTAGAGAATGAAATAATGGTCCTCGCTCCCAGGCAGGAAATCCGATGGCTCGTCCCCGGAACGAAATATATTTTGTCACATGTGCTCGAACGCTGTGGTATCGCTTGATTGACCGTCGTCCCCTGTCGCATCGATTGATATATCCCTCAGAAGGCAGCGACTCATTTTGATGTTGACATGCTGCTTTCCGACGAAGTGGAGAAGGCATGACTCTTCTGGCAAACCTTTTTCTCTGTAGCAACGCCCTGTATACCCAGCTGGAGCACCAGAACCGAAAGATTCCGTTGAGATCAATCGGAAACCAACAAAGGAGCCAGGTGTAACGTGGGTCAAGGAAAAACGACATTACCTCTGCGGAGGGCCACCTCAAGTTGACACAGTCCCGAACGACTTTGAGCGAATCCTCCATCTTCGGCGCCCGACTCGAAACCGAGTCAGCGGTGTCTACCTGTATATGTGTGAAGATGAGAGCCACTTAAAGACTCCGAACGTCCACCGCTAGATCCTCCGGCAGAAAAATCACTCACTGTCAGCGTGTATTGCTTGTTCAATAGAGTACCGTTCGACGACGTGACGGTGTACCAGAAGAACTTCTGACCCGTGGGCTCCTCACTGATCACCTGCAAGGGGGGAGTCGAGTCTTCTCGAGAAAACAGGAACTGCGGCTTGCGCCGTCGTTGGGAAAATCGTTAACCAGTTATTGGAAATCGAAAACTGATTTCGAGTCAATTACTTCGCGGGAATCGCTGAACAGCAGAGAGTAATGGAAATCACCGTGAATGACCCAAATCGGTAGGAACGGAGTCTTGAAATGGCTACCGACGGTGAATATTTTGTTCGTCAACTCAACGCTGGTCATGAACCCGATGGTCGATCTGGCAATGATACCTGAATCCGGGAGAGAACGACTCACTCAGAGCGAAGGGGGAACGTCAAATGGGAAGCAGTCGGAACTTGCCGCATCGCGCGCCGCATGAATTCCTCAAATCGCCGGGATTCGATTCCGACCGTCGAACAGTACCGTATTTCGCGACTTTCGGATGATCGTCCTCAGTGGCCGTCTTCGGTGCGTCGAATACGTTCGATACGGCCCGACCAGTAAGAATGAGATTCACCAACGGTTGGAAGCAATCTTCTTGTGCAGGGTCCACCAGAGTATCTTTCGCAGCCTCGATGTGGACGCGATCGGCTCCCCGAGAAAAAATCATCTTCAAGAAAAGAGGGACTCTCATTCAGACCCACATCCGGTGGGGGATTTGCCTAACTGAAAGTAGCTGTCTCGCGAGTTACTCACAGAGCAGAGTAGCGGAACCATACCGTATCGGCAGATATTATCGAAATGCCGTGATATCACGTCGTGAAGAGCTTCCACCGAATAAAGAGTCGCGTAATGCCATGAATTGTAAAAAACGCTCTCCTCGATGGTCCCGTCGGGTGGGAAAGGCACGATCAGACGTACCGGTCCACGCCGGTAGGGAGTCACCTGTAGGCGACAACAAATAATTCCGACGGCGGAAGTCGAAATGCTATCCCAATACGGAAATGCTGGTGTGAACGGTCATTGATTGTGCGCGAATCAGGCGCTATATGGGAAGCAGATCATATATGCATATATGTATATATGGCCGTAATTGACAAGGTCTGTTGCTCGCATTTCCACTCACTGAGAAGAGGATCTCGCTCAGGGCACCGATCAAGCCCCTCTTGCGTAGTTCAATCAACTTCTCCTTCTCTGATAAATGTCGCGGTATTTTTCCAACATCGCCAAAGAGGAGAGTCTTCACCAGCCAGGCCTACGAAAGGTTCTCCGAAGAATTAGAACGGAAGCTCGCAGGAAATGTCCTAGAACTTGATGGAAATGGCTCCTTGCGAAATGAGCTCGGCCTTGCGATGAAGCTCAAGGAAACAACCTGAATCGAGGCGACAGCCCCACACGGTCCATTGTAGTATTGCTTGATTTGGAGACGGCACTCATTGTGGATCGAAGGGAAGTCAATGTGCTGCAAGAGCCAAACTTTGGAGAACGAATTCCCCTTCCCGAGAATCGTATCGAATAGTTTCTCCCGTTGCTGATCATTGAGATGAGTCCAGCCTTCGAACGACATTCGCAATTTTTAGAGTAAATCAATGAAGAGAGATCTTCGTTACTTTCGCTGCATACTGTAGTTTTGCTGAGAATTGCATCAGCGACATCAGCGAAGCGCTCAGATCATCTCATCGATTCGAGCGTCATCGAGAGATCTATCGAGAATTCCCAGTCCGTGATGGGCGTCGGACAACAGGCTTGAACGAGTGCAAGTCTCAAATTCCGAGTCGTGACAGTTTCGAATCTTATCCTCTAAATGCCTAATGCCGGTTTTCAAGGAGGCTCTTCGAGTGAGCTCGCGACTCATCCTGCCTCCATGAAACATAGAGGTACCGCGGAAGCGAACTCCTTCCTGAAACCGGCTGAATCAGCGCGAGAGGTCTATGCCGCATGTGAATATATGTACGATGGGATTGTCGGGAATGTAAGGCAGGGAGCGAGGAAAGGTTTGGCGTGAGGAGAGATGGCGTCCAAGCGTGCTTCCGATGGACTTTCGCACTTCAGAGTGGACGCCCTCTGATGCGACTCTGTAGCGAGGATGCTTCAATACTGCTTTCGGAAGAGTGGGAGATCATTCCGTTCTATCAAAATTAGTGTCACACTTTGGACTCGGTCCCGGATGGACATCTCTTTTATCATGGTCATTTTCATATCCAACAACAAGAATTTCTAGCTCATGTTCTCGCTTTCACTTTCGCTCTCGTCCTGTTGGGGAAAGGGGGGAGGGGATGATTGAATCCCTTCAATAGATCGGGAGGCTTCCCTCCGTGGTCGATGAAGTCGATTTCGGGACGAAATAGACTTTCTTCTCGAGCGCCACCCCTCGAATCCCGACCTGGAACAGGCCATGTGGGCTTATGATAAATGTAAATAATAAAGTTAGTGATGAAATGGTTCGACCAAAATCGAAGATGAATTTGTCGGAACCAGTAGGCTTCCGATCGATCAACTCATGAAGGGCTGCCGCCACCCTTGGAGGCACTCGCTTCTGATCGAGCCTTTCCTAGGGTGAATTCAGACTTTTGATGACTACGGATGGCAGCGGAGTCATCGCTCTCTGTTTCTGACACACTGGGTGAGAGGGAAAATTGGCTGACCGTCAGAGCTGCATTGTATGTATGTTGTATGTCGTCCAAGCCAACCTGTGAGCAGGGCCATCGGAGTCCCACGCATTCTCGGACAACGCGTACGGACTGCTCCATTTTCGGGGCTCGGCTCGTGACAGGCCCCGTAGAATCAATCTGCGGAATCGGGAGGAAACCTTCACGTCATTTTTCTCATTCGCTGATTCTCTAGTAAGCATCGCTCAGGAAGGTTTCCTCGAATTGTATACCGTCAAGGTGAATTGCTTATTTAGCAGGATTCCCCTGAAAGAGGTGACCGTATACCACTGGAATGTGTCATTCGTCGGCATATGCTGAAGAACCTGCCGGCAGAAGTGTTCCTCTGAATTGCCTCTCCAGGGTAATTTAGCATTTAGACCGATCCATACGATCTATTGATCGATGAGATTCGATGATACATATTCAACCTGTCGGTTCTGGCAGAAGAGAACTGAGTAGTGGGATTCGCCGTGGATAACCCAAATCGGGTGGTAAGGCACCTTGTAATGATTTCCCACGACTATTGTCCGATTATGCAGCTCGACGCTCGTCATGAAACCAATGATGCTTCTAGAAACGATTCCTGAAATTGAGGTTGCAAGTCAGGATTGACCCGAGGGCAACCGCGCGAAGGCTTCTCTCCCGAGCGCAAGACCTCCTGTCGTCGATAGAGCGCGGGATCCTCACTGACCGTATCTGCTGTATTTCGGGTGATGCTCCTCGGTACAGAACTGTGGCGCATCGAAAACGTGGGAGACTGCTCGACCGGTCAAGATGAGATTGACCAACGTCTGGAAACAATCTTCTTGGAAGGGATCCACAAGAGTGTCCTTGGCTGCCTCAGTGTGGACGCGAACGATGCCTCGAGACAGTATTAACTTGAAGAAAAAGTATCGCGTGGTGAAATCCAATGTTTCGACTAGCGAGAATTGCCCGGTAGAGGATTTCGGCTCCGCATAACTTACTCACAGAGCACACAAAAGGAACCATACCGTAATGGCAAATGTTCTCGAAGTGCGCGTCGACTGCAGCCCTGACCTCGTCCAGGGTACTTAGCGTCGTGTAATGCCAAGACTCATAATATTGATCCTCATTATAGGCCTCCCCTGATGGAAACGGAACTATCAGGCGGACCGGTCCTTTCCTAAGCGGGGTGACCTGCGGACCTTATCTATTATGCCTGGTTCCCTCGGGTCCACTCCCCTCGATGCTAATAATTTTAGTTGGGGTAGTCCATAAAGCATGTTGATACTCGCATGGAAAAGGATGCCACTGAGGGCTTCAATAAGCCCTCTCTTCCGAAGCAGAAGTAGTTTACTTTTCTCGGAGAGCTCGTGGGGCAATTTTCCCATCTTGCCGAACATCAGAGATTTCAGGAACCATGCCTGGGAACGATAGTAATCTATGAATCCCGAATGAGGAAGTGTCATTCCTCGGGAGGTCCGTCCTGGTGAATCGTCCGCCGATCATTGGGAACTGAATGGGAAAGGGATCATTTATTAACCTGGATCGACGCGACAGCACCGCATGGACCGTTGTGATACTGTTTGATCTGTAGCCGACATTCGTTTTGTATCGACGGGAAATCAATGTGCTGCACGAGCCAAACTTTTGGGAATTTCCTCCCGCGGCCAAGCACGGTATCGAATAACTGTGTGCGAAGTTCACGGTCGACGTGGGTCCAGTCTGCGTCTGACATTAGAAATTTTGATCACAAGCCCGTATAAACCTTCGTTGTTATTCTCCTCAGCCTAAATTCTGGGAGTCCTCAGACTAAAAGACTCGAGCCTGAATGTCAAAGACGCAGTATCCGGGCGTGGAGGTTCGAGAGCGTGAAAACGATCCATCCGGAGCACGCTCTCAAAATTTTCCGAAGCCGTTGCGTCAATTTCGAGCCGAAGGAGAGGGATCATCCCAGCCAATGAGATGATGACCCCTGGGAGTCAGACGGTTATCTCCCCGAGAATTTCGCATATCACATACGTCGACGTCGTTAGCTGAATCGATCCCGTTCGGTCTTCCGGGCTCGTTTTTGCATCCATAGAGAATTTACTCCGGAGAGCCGCTTCTCGGCCCGGCGGGCCCCCCACGGTTCCGATCCAGAAGCTCGCTATTCGGAGTGCCACCGACAAACATCGCTTTGGACTCTGGACAAGGTCCACTCTTCCCTACTGCTTATCGCGCGGGTGCAATGCGGGTCACGACATAAATCGACCCCTTCCACATAACATTTCTCGAATCTATAATCCCCTAATCTTGTCGACCGGTATACCGAGGGAAGTCGACCGTCTTGCTCAGAATCAATTCGCACCCCGCCCCGAGATGTTTTGGATAGCGCTCTGGCTCGTAGGTGAGTATTTCCCCTCCTTGCTCAGGATCGCCTCGGATCCTGAGAGGTCCGGCACCTACGAGCTGCGGCTTGTTCCTGGCATCGCTCTTACATCGCAGGTATTGCACGATGTCACGGTGATAGCCGTGTCACGGACGCCAATCTGTTCATGGACTCGGTGTTCCTCACTCAGATGCCCAAGGTCGTGGCATCCGCAGGGCTAGAGCCAGTCAAGCTCAGCCCTTTCGGGGTATCGGTCGTGCCTCCCAAACTTGGCGATAGTCGGTCCCTGATGCCCGCTTCTGATTGGAGTTTCGATGAGATTGACCTCCAGGGCTTATCTGATGTTGTCCGGTCAGTAAAAAAACGACAGAAATGCGGAGAATAACGTTCAGACTCGGAATCGCTCGAGATCCGATTCTACAACTCATCCAGATATCCCTCAGATCTGAGAACTGTTCTGCGGTGGCGATTCGAGCCGGGAACATCACAGTGACTTGCAGAGTGTCCCTTGGAAGACTTCGAGTCGCCCTGACAGGCTCCGTCGTTTGGGATGATTCGAGAGAGAAGAGGCAGCCGGCGCGAACTTTGGCTCAATTGACGCGGAGCTATGCGGTCGTGGTCGCTGCAGGCCCCCAACGCTACAAGCCTGGCTCGCTCATCAGGTCCGCCATTCCTCAGACTCTCCCGATGCTCGACCATGCTCGGGCAGTCGCTGCATGAGCCTTGATGTTTACGCAGCAAAGCTCGTTGTCTCATTAATTGCCTTCCAGATTCGATGTGACGGATCTCAACTTGGTGTATGCTCCGAACTACGAGCCACTTTCAAAGAAGCTGTCGAAGAAACTCAGGTCTCGCGTGAAAAAAATTCTTGAGACGGAATATCGCGCGGCCCTTGTACGAGCCGTCGCCAGAGTCAACCTCCCCGCGGCCTGAATAAGTTTTCCTCCCTTCATTCTTCCTGCCCAGCATCTTTATTTTTCGCCCGAATCCCGATCGAAACCCCGATTTTTCGTGGAAATAATAAAGGATGAGAATTCAGTGCATTCTTCTTTGTTGACTCGCGATTTCGAGGCTGAAGGCCATTGAGAGAAAAGAAAGATGATGATTGGACGGCCATGGGATTAGGGTGGATGGATACAGTGCCGATTTCCCCGAAGATTGACATAGGTGAACTACTCCGGAAGCGAGAACCCGACCATTACTTCCGTTTCGTAGACGTGTTGCTCCTACGTTCATCCTTCTTTCTCACGCTTGAGCCGCTTTCGATATGAGCATGAGATCACATCGACCAGAAGCTCCGGAGCCAATCATGTCGCTGGCAAGTGTTCTTCCGCCTCTGCTGTTAGTGCTCGGTGAGTTCGGATCCGCCTAATCAAGTCGAGCTCCGACTATTCTAGAAAACTATGAGCTCCAGCTTTTTGTTCCACGAGTTCAATGGGAAGAGTCTCAGAACGAAAATTTATAATTGATAATTACGGCACCAAAGATCTGACTGACTGAGTGGAAGCATGATTCCCCAGGGCTGCCCAGATGCGACGGGGACAGCCGAGTTTCCAATGCGAATCTCTTCATAGACACATTGCTCCTTGGACGCATGCCGAAATTGGCACCATTCGAGGGCATCGAGCCGTACGAGATGGATCCAGTTTTCGTTCGCGTGAATATCAAGAATACCTTCGGGCATAGATTCAAAGCCAATTTCTCGTCGACGACCGTGACAGGTCTGTCGAAAGTCAAAAGGTCAGTGGGCATCGAGATCGATATCCTAGGGTGTCGATTTTACTTCACGGTCTCCTTCCGAACGCGCAATAATCGAATGCATCGCGTCCCATGCAAAGGATTCGATGCCGTCATACTTTCCTATTAATGACCATAAATCGAAAGCTGCGAGTACCCTTCTGTCGAGCCACCATATGTATCCCGGATCCAGCAAAGCTGCTCGTAAATCATCAGCTCACTCGAGTGTTGTGCCTTCTAGATTCAACGATTGCTCTCGAGCAGCGATACGCAACGGAAACATCACAATCACATGTACTGTGAATTTCAAAGAGATCGAAATATTCCTGGATGGATTCGGTGATGGAGATACGACCTTGAAGAGAAGCCACAGAGTTCAAGCGAAGGCGACTTTTGATGAAACCTACGCTCTCATTGAAATCGCGGGACCGAATCGCAACGAGCCAGGGTCGTTGATGAGGTTGGCGGATGCTCTTATGATCTATCTAGCTTCCGACGCGTAGGGAGTCAGAGTTTTTTTTTCAATTGAATGGAACGCTTGCCATCGGAGACGTATGTGAATATCTGTGATCCTCCAGCTTCCATTGGAATGATGGATTGAATTCATCCCTAGATTCGATCTATCCACCATCAAGTTGATCATCGAACCCGCGGAGTCCATCTCTCTCTCCAGCGACAGACTGGCAGAATTCAGAATGAACTTGAACAACGAGCTATCGGATCGAATGAAAGTTTTGTTCGATGGAAAATACAAGAAAGTCCTGGAGAATGCCATCAGCACGGTCAATCTGCCTCCAGTTTGAGCATCAACGTCAAATAAACAGTTTTTCCATCCGTCCGCCAAGCAGGAGGGGCTGACCGAACCGTTTTCTCTTACATCTGTGGTCAGGAAGGAATGTTGACAAGAACCCTCCAGAGATTAGCCCGTCATGACGCGCATAGACCTCTTCCCTCAATCGACCTATGTATCTCGGCTGAATGGAAAGTTCCGCATTGGAATGAAGCCTCATAGATTGAGAGACTGAGACTGGCTGGGGACACTCTGATACCGTGCATCAAATCATGCTCTGCAGCTCCGAGCTTGGCATCCGAGAGTTTCTAATAAATTTTCTTCTCCCCGCGCCCATGATGAAGCAGGGCGCTCAGGCCATAGTTTGAGCAAGTAGTAGAGGAGATACTACTGAGTGAGATGGCTCCGAATCTTGAAATTGTTTAATGAAAAAAACGCGAATGGTCTGGCGCGGGAATTCGAATCTCAATCGGAGCTAGCGACCTCTACCGGTAAACTCGGTACACTCCTGTGTATACACCTAGAAGTGGTGTTCCCGATGGAATAATTCCTCTCCTTTACGCAGGCCAGTGTCAGTTAGTTGGTCTGGTCGATATCGTTTTCGTTCTCGAATTCTACGAAGGCGATGGAGTGGTCCGGTGTTTCCTCAACGTCATTGATGTCACACTGCCGGTCATTGAAGAGACGAGGTTCGGCGATCACATGGCTTCCTCGGAATTCGTAGACTATTCTAGTATTCCTGGACGAGAAAGTCATCGTCCTGGGGGATTATCTTTAGAGTCGAAGACGGTGAGTGGATAGAGCCAGTACAAATCCCGTAAACCACTGACTGCTAATAGCGACTCATGACTGATGTCACTTCTCAAGGTGAAAAGTTTCTCAAAGACGAACTCCTGGGAATCCTGAATCGGATTTCCCAGTGCAGGAGTTGCCTTCCCTATCTGACGATGTTATCTTCCAGTTCCGGAAAAAGACCGAGACGCGGGAATCACGGCATTCTCCCAGCCGACATCAATGGGGAGTTTGGGGCATGCCATTCTGAGTATTCTCCGCGCTCCCGGTGATCGATAGCGCCTCGTTGGAATGAGTCAGTGGCGAATTTGAACGAGCACAGGTTTCTCGGCAATCAGCTCATAAGCCCTGGAAAGAGACAGTGGATCATTCTCCCAGTCTGGAATCACTCTCTGCGGAAGTTCCAGAGGGAGAGGTTTGGATCGCTTCGATTAAACAATCGCAGGGCTATCGGATAATATCTCACGAGATTGGCTGCCGCCTGACAGGGCAAGGCTGCGATTAAGGCGGAGACAAGTTATGCCGAGCTTCGAGCCTGGAGAAGCACAAATCAGCACTGGCAGGATGGCTTGGTCCGAGAAGCTGAGGTTCGTCGTCGAGCCTATTCTTTTCCTCAGTTTCATGACGACGTCGATTGAGATCTCCCTCGTACAACAGCTCATCCGACGGAAAGTGTGTCTCGTGTCAGGAATGCTGAACTGCGATGGGAAGCCGAGCGCTGAGCTCATCCTCGAAGCAACTCCATGGATCGGAGCCTACAACATCGCTCTCTCCTCGGTGACCTTCGTAGTGGGACTGTGGTTCGGATCGTGGGCCGACAAGTACGGACGGAAGAAGATGATGGTGATTCCATACGTCGGAAGTATTTTGTCGACGCTGATTTTCATCATCGCTTCGATCTTCATCGAGACCACCCCCCTCATCCTGATGGTTTCGGCCGTCATCATAGGATTGAGTTCCGGAACTCTGGGAGTAGGCTCCACCTGTTTCGGCATCATCAGCGTCGTGACCACGTCGGAAGGTCGGAGCGGCAGAATCGCAATCATGGAGGCCATGATTTTCACTGGAGGTGCCCTGGGATTCTACATCGCGGGTTACGCGCTCCCTCGATCGAGTTTCGCTGTGGTGTTTTGTTTGGAGATGGGTGTGCATCTCATAGGACTCGCGTACTTGATAATGTTCATCCGGGAACCCGAAGAGTCGCTGGAAGAGAGACAGCGACATTCCACGGAATCGTTCATGAGCACGGAGCACCTCCTGTCCATGTATCGAACTGTTATCCGTCCGAGAGCGCGGCGTTTACGGGCCGTTCTCGTTCTGCTAATATTTTCCTCGTTCATGTTGGCGTTCGGTATGGCGACCGCCAGCCAGCTCACCTACACCCGTTTGACGTCTCCCCCGGTCAATTGGAAGCCGGCGAAATATTCGTTTTACCATGCATTCATGGTTTTCGCGCAGGGTTCTATGCTGGTCATCGTTCTACCGCTTTGTCTGCGATTCTTCGGCATCCGAGACACCACGACCGGAATCATTGGGGCTGTGTCGAGGTTGTTAGGACTCACCGGGCTCGCGGCCGCTACCGAGGACTGGATGTTCTACCTGACGATCGCCTTTTTCTCGTTTTCGGAATTCGCCATGCCGGCGGTACGATCCATCTTATCGAAGATCGTGGATCAGAACGAAAAGAGTCAAATATTCGGACTCATGGGCGCTCAACAGTCGCTGGCGTTCGTGTTAACGGGGATCATTCTCTTGTTCCCTGGATCGATGACCACCTTGTTCCCCGGTTTCGGGATGGCTGTCGGGGCTGTTTTCCAAATTGTGCCCATATTGACGCTGCTTTACCTTCGATTCTTCCTTTCTCTCGATGAAGGATTATCGGAGCTACGGAATGAGAGTGTTCATCACTCCGGCTACGACTCGGTCGTCGATGACGGACTCGTAGATCCGCGAGGACAACCTTGAAAGGGCATTGCTCGAGAACTCTGACCGTATCCCTGAGCCTCACCATTGGATGTGATACCCACTCAGAGCCGAGCCCGATCGTCAGAATTCCACGTCAAGAAACTCGTCGGAGGCGCCTGAAAAGTTTCCTGAAAAGAGTTATTCCGGTCGAAGCAATGATCGAATACTGAAGTTTTTTCTTCATTTTCGCCTGAATTTTTGACGAATCTTACATTCGTTATTCGTCCTTGTGTTGAGTAGAATCGCCTTCGAATCGCTTAACTTCGAATCGCCTCTAATGGAATCGTTCCAGCCCAGCCTCGAAGGATATTTTCCTCATCGCTCCGAGTAGCGGGGCCGAGAATAAGGGCAAATTCAGCAGGCAAATTTAAACATGGAGCTTAACCGGGATGATTTCGCGCCGCACGAATCAGGTGATTATCTCGGAATGAGCGCGTGGCGGAATTTCCAGAGGTATCCGTGGCGGCATACTCTGACCAGATTGAGCGGGACGCTTTCATAAGAGTGCGCCTGCGCATACATTATACACTCGACAGATGCCGAGCACAGTCGCTTTTCTAGGAGTTATCAGACTGAAGCTCTAGAATGGCGATACTCATAGAGCCAAATCTTTCCTGACGCTTGTTATCAACTATCGGATCATTATTCTTGAAAAATATACTCCTGAGATTCGGAAGGGATCTCCTCTGGAGAGCCTGACAAGAAAGGCTCCCGATTGAGGAGTGGAGAGTGAAGCTTCTGAAGAGCAGTGGTTAGAGGCGCTATGCTGATGGCTTAGTACGTTGGTCTCGGATGCAGGGTCGACTCCATTCTCATCCATGGGCCTACTCCATGGGCAATGATTGACGCCCCCGAACGCTGCGAAGGAGCAAGAACCATCTCTCCGGGACTTTCGGCGATGAGAGACGGCGTTGAACAAGACTGTACCAGGCAATTGCACGTCAGGTCGTAAAATTCGGGTTATTCAACGCTTCCGGATAGGAACCTGGCAGACGCATCCCGTTTTACGACATCCCGCGATTCGTGTCTTTTGATTAGTGGAGATTTACTATCCCTAAGAAAATTATGTGAAGTCATCTGTCTGTATAGCTCAATATAGATGCCTGTTTCGGAGATGCTTTGCACATGTATTTTCCCCATGTCGTGAATTTTATCATGTATTAAAACTTGTGATAACTCAAGACGGATGTTGATGCAATAAAAGGTAAACAATGTTGAGCGGTTGGGTCTCCTAAGCACTGTATGTCCGCGCATCCGGAGGGAATGACAGAATTTGAGACAGAAAAGATCTAGGTAGATCATTTTTTCGTCGGGGTAGTGTACATGCTCTTATGAGGATGAAGATTTCGCTGAGAGGAGCTCGGCATTCGACGAGCTGGAACGTCGAATTTCGTGATTCCGAACGACGAGGGAGAAGAGTTCTCATGTCAATTCCTCAGGAGCCTCAACTGATGCGCGTAGTCCTTCCGAAGCAATCGAAATTCTATGAAAGAGTTCACCTCGGCGGGACGGGGGAGTCCGACATGGATCCTTCAGCTAGCATAGTCACGAGATTTCAAGATTTGAACGAAATGTCTATCTAATCCTCATCTTGTGAGCGCTTCATTCCTAAACGCTAACCACCTTGACCTTGGAGGCTGTTGCCGGGCTAAGCCGAAATCGTTGTCCGTGGTGACGAAATCCTCTCGGACCGAGACAACAAAAGCAAGAGCTATTAAGAGGCTCGAATATTTTACAGCAGCGCTTCCACGATTTGCGAGTCTTCTCGTCCGCGGAGATCTCAAGCTGTAGAATTCAATACGGAGCCTAGATTGAATAATGTTCCAGTTCAGGATGGAGGGCCGGCGTGACGCCTTCCTGGCACTTGTTGACCTCCGGGATCAAATCGGGACTACGTCAGATTTGATTGTTTCCCAGAGGAATCCTTTACAACCCTCTCAATTATTGCGAGTGTTTTTTTTCTGAAGTCCTCATTGTCGTGCTTCCGATCCCCGGTTCGAGCAGGGCAGAAGTCTCAACACTGGAGTGGGCTCGACGCTCTCGTCCCTCCATCCTCTGAAGTCCAAGAGCAGAATCCTGATAGCAAAGACATTCAACAACAAGAAAGTTTTGATGATTCCCACCGTGATTACTGCCGCAATCGTGTGACGCTCGAGCTGTCGTGATTACACGCAGATCATCAGATTCTTCTCTGTTATAAGGTGGTCACACATGTCACAAACGACTCCTCCCCCAGAAAGTCGACTTTTATGACAGAGATCTCACGACAGAAGAGCGACAGAGATCGCAATGGCTCGAAAGCGCTCACAAACGCGCCTGCTCCGTCAAGGATGCGTGAAACTATTCTTCTTTGTCCTAACGTTCATCGCTTTCGCGGGACTGCAGTCCGTACTGCCATATGTCAGTGAGTGCAAATCTTGGACTTCGCCTTCACGTGGATGCCCTCTGGAACCTGACTGCCCATGGCCGTAGTCTTTGGCCTAGTCGATCTCGAAGATATGTTTGACGATTACGAATCGAAAGATGGTATCCTCGAACAACAGCAGCTCATTACCGAGAATACAGGGTGAGGGATCCCGTTTAATAAACCATTTCTCTCCCTTCCCAACCTCGTCCAAGGACCTGCATGGGGAGCTCTCCAGGAAGGAACCGCGGGGGTTCCGGGAATGGTCTTGGTGCTTGCCTTCCTCGGAGTGATCCCTGTCGTGTGGATCATCCTTCTCGGCGTGGATCAAGTACTCAGACGGTGCGTTCAGAGATGGGGTGTCAAGATCTTCTAGAGTGATCGGAAATGCCAAATCAGCAACCCTTTCCCCCACCGTATGTGATTCAGAGCCGGGATCGGAGCTGGACAGCAAATATCCGGATTTGCCCTGTCCCTCTGTCATACCGGAGTTCTGTCCGATTCGTCTCGAGATTGACTGACCGACGAAAAACGGGAAATGAATTTCGCATTCCAGACTGTGCGAGGGCCAAAAGAGTCCTTACGCACTCCTGAGCTCAGACGATGACTTCGAGGATGTCGAATTCGGTACTCAGTCCAATGTGGATTTCGGGGAGAAGCCGATACGTCAGAAAACTGCGGTTTGTCAAGCTCGAAAATGTTTGCGAAGTCATTGGGGATCAATCTGTTGATTTCCTCATCATTCTCTTCTCGACAGAGATCTCCGCCGGAAAAGCCAACTGGAAGACGTTCAGCGCCACGTGGAGGCGGACGATACGACGACGACGAGGGCTCGGATAAAAATCCGACAGATGTTGACGTCACGGTGCACCCTGTTGACACGACTATCGCAGGTACGTCTGGTCCGTCTCAGCTGGCTATGGAAAGTTCGCTACGGGCCGCCCGACAAGATTCGGGATCGTTTTCGAGTCCCGCTGCGACTGCGCTCTGGGATCCGCAGAATTCTGCTGAGGATAGAGTCCCAGAATTCTGATCATACTTCGAGATTTCTCTTATCGTGTCTCGAGAAAGATTCGCACCTGGAACGGATATTACGTTCCTACTATTTTTATTTCCGTCGGCTTTCTGGAGCTCTGCTGAAGTAACTTCCTCTGGGGGTCGCGGCTGCGATTCCATGAGAGCAGGCGGACGCAATCAGAATCGGGCGAACAATTTCCCTCTTCCTGCCGGCTTCCTTAGTCCTCATCGGGAAGCTCTCGTCGAGCCATAGCCTCGACAGAGAGCTGCGTTTCAGTGATCGAATAGGTGCAAGATGAGCTCTATGAGTATGCTTGGAGATGCGCATGAGTCTTTTCTTGATTTCTTCCCGCATATGCACAAATGAGACGATGTGGATTGAGGTGTGGGACAACCACGATTCACCGGGGTATTGTTGGGAATCGGCGCGTCCTTCCCGGACGATACCTCCCAAAGCGCGATCTGCGGTAGCGCCAGTCGACCTCCGTATCTAGAGAACGTCTGCATTCTGTCTTTTAAGCTCACTGTCAAGACGCCGCGGCGCTGACTTTCCGGCGAGCAGTCCATAGATCAGCTGAGCAGGAATTTGTGCGAGGAACTTGACGATAAAATTGTATGCTTCCTCTGCAGCGGGTGGTGAGGCTCGAGTCTCACCGCAATACAACGTTTCGCTGATGAGCTTCGCGAACGACAGCCCCCGCGACGAGAATTCGAAGCTATTCTACCCTTCAGCTCCGTCGATGTTGGGGGGACCCGCTTTCTTCAAGCGACAATTTTGAAGAATATTCCTCCACAATCACATCAATGACGGAACTAAGATCGGCGGCGTGTGCCTCATCATGTCTCTCGTACCTCGGCCTATCTCATCTTCTCCGACCCCATCTGCGTATCTGGGAGAAACTAGCTTCGAAGAAGAGGATCGCTCGCGCGCATGAGTCTATTATAGTCTGGGTTCAGAAGGAGTTATTGATGCACCGCGACCCAACATCAGGCCGAGGGCTTCATATAAAAAAATCGTATCCGACTGAGAGACGAATGCACTGCGATGAAACTCCGACATCTTCGACATCTATCCCTCATAAGAGATGATGCATCGGTATGAAGATTCATCTTTATATCCAGATTGTGAAGTATCCCTACGGTGTCTTCTCCAACGGAAGAAAGAAATCTGGAGCCGCTCAAAGTCTCGAACCAATAAATCGGAACGTCCTACTCAGATCGATAGTTTTCATGATTGAAACAAGTCTGTGGCGTGAGATATGTAGCAAGTTGAAGATGGGTCGTTGGGAAACCTGACTTAGTTATGTGGCCAAGGCTGTGAAGGGACCATGACACCGGTATCATATGACTCATACTGCACGCCTATATGGCGCTCGTGAAGGTGTGGCGAAATCAACCTCGGCACATCCGAAATCCAGTCTGACCATTCCTACCCAGTCTCTCCGGACGCCATCACGATTTTTGTGTTCTCTCATATTCCCCGAATCGATGGCACCGTGTCAAAGATTTCACGGTATCGTCAAACACCTGAGAAAGCAGGGAAGGGTCATTTTGCCGCACACTCTAAGGCGGTAGGGCGACTGCCTTTGTGGGAGTCCGAAAGCGAGGGAGGCTCAGACAGCGACTCTTTCCTGCGGTCGCTCACCAGCCGCCGGTTTCCAGTTTGCCGCTAATATTCATCCGTGTGAAACAAGGTGAGTAACTCCTCGACAATTCTTCTCGTTGTGATCTGCCACGGATAGCCGCGACGCGTATCACAATCATTTGGATTCGTGGTGTCGAAGCAAGTGTCAGGAAGACCTGAGTTCCGCGTCGCATTCTGGGCAATTATGACACGCTTGTGAGTCCGGCCGTGAGTCACGAATCTGGAAGCTAGAATCGGGAGACCTCTTATCTCAGCTGAGGAATGCGTTCCAGGACGAAATATGCCGATCTCCGTATACGTCCCCCGTGCTCGCCACTTGCCGCGATACGGCCTCATGGACAGCCCATACGTCAACAACAGGCTTGTTTTTCTTGAATTACTCTACCTAAATTTTAGGCAGAGGGACCGATTAAGCTGCAGCGATTGGGTGCAGAACTCGCAGGTTGTAGGGAGGCTTTACCAGCTCCGAAGGAATACTATAATTCAGTATTCGTCTTTTCCAGGGCACTCGTCCAGCACGAACCCCTGGTGCAAGTCGATTTCGAGCTATTCGGAGACGTGGAAGGTAAGTTTCGAAAACCATGAAGGATAATCTCTATTCGTACTATTATTCCGCGGCGAAAGAATCACTATGGAAGGCAGAGGACCCAGAAATCCACTAATGAATGAACATCCCCATCTCCTCCTCGAGCTCAGGTTTCAACTTCAGAGCCGTGAGTATCGATCACCTAGAGAGATGATGTTCTCGGGGAATTCCCGAATAATCCATTCCCCGATCATAATCTTTTTTTCTTCGTGGCACGGATAGTACACCAAAGAAAAAGCTCTGCAATTGGGAGTCACGGGATGGATGAAGTGCTCTAGGAAGCATACCGTCGTTGGTCAGCTCCAGGGAGATAAGGACCGCGTGAACGATATGTGAGCGAGCTGAATATTTCAGGGTCTAAATATACAGCGTGCATTCCGAAGGGGACCGCATGATTAATGAGCCCGCGGGAGAGCAGAATGATTCGAACACGTTCGTTTTGCAGGGCGAAATGGCTCGCAGCTCAAGGCGCTCCTGGTGCGAAGGTGGGTCTTTCTTAGCCCTCGTGATAATAGAATGAATACTGGGAGAGTGAATATACCGTAAATTTCCTGATTGGAGGGCATATCCGACTATTTTTCGGCCATCCGAAACCTGCCCGATTAGACGAAACTGTCCGTCTGTTTCTGCCGTCCCCGAACGAGTGAATCGAAGCCGGTCACTCCTATTGCTAGACTATATTGAGTTGATGGGATATCCATCGCAAGCATACCAAGAAGCAGCAGCGAGAGGAGATTTTCGATCTTCGCGACCCGAGAGCTCAGTTGCCTCCCCAAAAGAGCAGTTCATTGGAGACTGCCTGTCTATTTCGTAAATCATCCGCAACCTGCCCGTTTATTGAAGAGTTTCCGTATATTAGAGTCCGCGCCACCATTAGAATATTTACGGTATCGAGAATTGGAATCTTCGACTTTTCGACAGAAAGTATCTTCCGGAAGCGGTTTCTGTACCGATTTGTCCATTCCTGGTACATTAGATCTCCTGGCCATCCAAAATCCATTCAATCACAGGAAGTAACTGTTACGGTTGTACCGGTCGTCATACCGCGATCACGGAATTATATCGTTGCATGTTCCGTAGCCCTCATTCTCGAAAGCTTTCTTAGCGATCTCGAAAGTCTCACATCTTTTACGTTCTCAGGTCAGTCGCTTGGAACTCCGACACTGGCAGATCATTGACGGTTTGACGATGCGCGACTTCTCTTTGAGATTCTGAGTTGAGACTACGGTCATTGTCCCTGGACATCCTCGAAGGTTCAGGGTATCGTGTACAAATGGAGGCACATCCTTTTTTTATGCATACACACTGTGACGATTTTTCCTTGAAAATAAACATCTGAGTCTCGGAAAGGTTCATCTCGGCAGATTTCCGTCTCTTTCTTTGTCGTTTCTGCCCCTCTCTTCGGACGCTTAGCTCACAACAGCTCCAATGAACCTGGCCCGCGTCGTGGCGGCTGGGCACGGAATGTCGATGTTTCACTCATCACCCCTCCGAAACGGACCCGGAGAAGTGTGCTTTAAGTGATAATATCCATCCAGGTAGCTCCTTGGAGCAGCTTCGACTTGACGAGCCAGCGATTGACTTGGATGAGCAGGATGTCAGTTCGACACCAACCTGATCGGTAAGAAGGAGTTCGGGGAAACTAGGATTTGCAAGACGAAGTCTTCGCTAGGAATAGATGGTTTTCTGGGAGAGTTACCGCTTCAGACTAAGACTGCTGGTGATTTCGCCGACGGACTCTTTTCTCCTGGTCACGAGCGACTATTCGGTTGGGCAGCGGTCCCCCGTCCCGACATCTCTCCAAGGAACAAATACTCCCGTCGCACCAATCCGTCATTGCTTTGCCGAGAGGTCTTGGGCAACGAACGTCAGTATTTGGCTTATGAAGCTCAGTATGAGCTTCAAGTGAGTTCAATCGAATCAAAAAGTGAGTTCAAATCCCTGCCCCCTCAATCACAGATCACGGGTAGTAATTGCAGAGCCCAGTTCTGTATCGTACAATCGAGCCACCGGGAGAGGTGAGAAACGGAACTTTCCAATCCGCTCCCGGAGAGTGAACCCGATCTCCTCCCCGCCTTCGAGATCACGTATCTAGATCACGGCTAAACCTGACTCTCAGATCGCATCCCATTTCGATTGACGAATTATGTTCTGGTTCGCCAGCTGGCTTCGGCGATTGATGTACATAATAAATTCCTCCAGAAACTGCTGCGTGACATGTGTACATCTCGGAGGTTTCCCTCCATGCTCAATGAGCCTTGTCGAGAAGGCATCTGCAAACAAGATCTGCGGAGGAACGGCAACTCTTCGAAGACCACACCATTCAACGAGCCACAATCGATTCCGCATTAGACGACATCTATGATATTGAGCATCTGGAAGCTCGTCGTGTCTTATAAATCGCTGACATTGCTGCCGCCTCCCACGTCAGGATACCGCTGAGTTTCGGGAAAGCCGCCGACCAGAAGGCATGAATATCTCAGGGCGTAAATATGCACGAAAGAAATCACTTACAAATTCCTGAGAAGAGAGGGGTCACCTTTACTTTTCGGCAACTCCGAGAGAAGAATCGGATCTCTTGCACTCGTATGGGCTCCGGCGTCGATCAGGCTTTGTTCGAGCTTGAGACGAGCTTAGCCTTGTCAGGCTCAATTATCGAGTGACATTCTGTGAGGGTTGGGGTGATTTTAGTCCATCTCGGTGACGATGACAGGCCTAGATTCCCGGATGTCAATGCTCATTCCAACGGGTAAATGGCATCGACGGCGTCATTCTACAGTTTCCTTCCTCGCTGTCTTGCAGCCCAAAAATCTGGGCTCGTGGCAGGAAGCAGGAAGCTCCCCAGCTCAGAGCTCGATAATCCGTCTGATCTTTGATGGTTCGCGACATCAGTCGGACGGCATCGTAACCGTGAGCAGAGCTATGGGAACGGGTTGGCTGGGCGTGATCGAGGCTTGCTCTAATTCGCTTTCGACTGCTGATCAACCGACTCTACAGCTCACATTATTGCAACGATGCATATTCCGCGCGCGCACATCGATATTAGATCGACTCCGGGCACAAATCATCTCCCTCCCGCCCTTCACAGCTCTAAAGAAGTTTGTGGACTAACTCTGGAGTCTAGAGGAAGCTCTCCCTCGCCCGCAATCGAGCCTGCCTCCTTCGGCAATGCCTAAGACTTTCCCGACGTCGGTTCCTCCTCTGGTCCACCACGCCTATCTGCTGCCTTCGCTCGCTATTCGAATCTACGGATAAAATGAGTAATTTCCCTCCGAATAGCTGGCGGAAGATGATTGCTTTCAACGGAGAGGCTATTCGATTGATAGTTCCCTCTCGCCAGATTGCGCTGCTGTTTATCCCCTTATTCAGTAGAATGCTGACTTAGTGAGCAGGATAGCACGAAAGGATGCCGGGCTTCTAGTGTCATGGAGCAGTGGTTCTCAAATGGGGAGCCCGAAGCGGACGCTGGGGGAACCCGGGCCCTCAAGGTTCTCTTGGAGTAGGAGGTTTCCTAGTTTGTTTTGATGACTTAATCGATCGCACCCTTCCTAGGGGTAGCTGCCGTGGACCTCAACGTGACGGACAGACGGCGTTTACACATACATATAATAATATAAAATAATATAAATGGGATGGGATCCATTGAAGAGACATGTGATATCGGGGGATTCTACTTTGAGGAACACCGGGGGAACGCTCCGAAAAATAGTCCACATGGCCCAACGAGAAGCATGGGAGTACGTCCAACCGGGTCCGGGATTCCTCCCGGCAACCCTCGTCTCTTGCATGATATGCGAATCGTAGTAACTCTCGCTCCTGCCCGACCTCGAATCCGGAGTCATTCACGTCATGAGAATCATAAAACACATTTGAAATCACTTCTCTCGGCGTTTGAAGCGTTCCAGGATCCACCCTCTCCCAACTTTCTCGATCGAATCACGAGAGGAAATCGCTGCGGTAATTTCCTATGTCTTTATTCTAGCATGAATAATAATCAAAGGAGAACAAGGAGACCCCTCAGCTGAGTCGTTCTAATCTACATTTGAGAGGATGTTTGAGCGGATGCTGAAGAACCGGCAGAACACAGACTTCGATTCGGGCATCGTGTTTCGGTTCATCCGGGCAATATATCCGATATTTCACGAGAAGCTTAGCCAAAGCCAGCTTCATCTCCATTTGCGCGAACCTCATGCCGATGCAGTTCCTCGGTCCATCGCCGAAAGGTTGCCAGGACTTCGCCATGGCGGGAGTTTTGTTCTCGGGTAGGAATCGTTCTGGTCGAAACTTATTAGGTTCAGGAAAGACCGCCTCGTCGTAATGCAGTTCTTCGATAGAAGAAAACACGTTCATGCCTTTTGGGATTGTCATTGAGCCGTACTTCACTTCTTCGTTCGCGACTCGAGCAGTGAAGCTGTCGAAAACAGAGAGACGAGATAATACATTCGATATGAGTTCAGCGAATCGGGCTGTAAAGAATCCAGAACTTGAATGTCTGGAGTCTCCATTGGTATATTCTCAACTCACAAGAAGAAAGGAGTATACATCCGCATGGTCTCCTGGATGAAAGCTTCGGTGTACTGACACCGTTGCAGGCGCTCGAAATCGAACGCTGTTCCACCGTCGGTAGCCTCTACGAGTTCTTCTCGCACTCGTTCTTGAACTTCAGGGAATCGGAGGAGCATTTTCGCGAGAAATGCTAGCGTTGTGGAAGTGGTTTCAAAACTGTGAAAGCAACAAATCGATACAATTAAACGCTTTGGAATCATCTCCCAAAAGAGCACATGTCTGGCTTTCTGAGGAGCGTGTTCTCTCGAGAATCGTGGACGGCTCAGCTCTTCGCCGTGAGGATTCAGGAGTATGTTTCGGTGGACCTCGAACGGCTATGAGAGGCTTGCTATTCACATGCGATGTGCCCTTCCATATTCAAGCATTAGGGCAGGGCTCGAGACACCACAATTCGAACGCTCGGAGAAAGAGAGCGGGATCCCCCACACTATCAGCTGACCGCTGAGGAGACTTGGGAGGAGTGTCCCGAAGACCCCAAGGGCGTTATTGAGTTTTCTGGATGCGATAGTCCGAGCTCCGTGGAGGTGAGAGGAATATGACGACAGAGGAGAAGCTTTAAGAATGAAGGGAAATGATACGGGAAACGAGCAAAACCCGAGTCGGATCTCAGTGTCGTGGCATGTCTCGGTGGGCTCATTCATGCTAGAGATGCGATGTCACTAGGGAGGTTTTAAGTTCGCGCGTCTGATCGTTTGTAAATTTACAAACCCGGCCAGTAACATGAGGAAGGCATTGTCGATGACTTCGTTGTCCGTTAGCCCCTCGGGTTTTCCTGTGATGGGACACTCCGACGGGAGATTCCGATTCTTCGCCATAGATCCACTTCTTCTGTTTTCCGCGGCTTCTGCTCCGTCGCCCGCGATCAATGAAGTGAGATCAGTAGAGGATTCCACTGACACCTGAGCATCCATCATGAGTTGAAGCAGATCTGAGCGTTTCGATTTCTTGTTAGAAATGAGAGAATTAGTTCGAAGACAAGGGACGCTCGTTGAACTTGGATAGGTGACCACCTCAGTCTGGCAAGCCTGACTCTCACCTCGGGGTTCAATCTCCGGAACTTTACGACTTCACGGCTCTGTCTCTGGAGAGCGCCGATGGGGCTCTCAAAAGAGTTCAGCCAGAGATACCAGAGTTGGCATACTGCATGTCGAAGAAGTTTCGCGAGCGCAGGGAGTGAAGCTGTACGGATTTCCAGACAGAATTCTGAATTATGAATTCGTTCCTCTTCGTTCTCATTCCTCCGGACACAACACGCTCGGAATCGAGCGGTTGGATCTCCGCTGGTGTTAACTCACCGAAAGCCACGAAGAAAATATCCACCTCAATCGATAGAATCGTGCTGATTGCGCGGAGTACCTTCGAATTTTTGTAATCCTTCTGGACATTGAGGTCCAGACCCATTCCAGCTTTACCAATCGCGTCTAAGGTCATGGCTTTGAAGAGTGCCGCCAGCTCACACTCTTTAGAATTCTCAAAATCCTTGTCCATGTTCTCTATGAAATCATCTATAGAAGTCTGCATCACAGGGCTTATCTGGACGAAACGGGTAAAGGAAAAGCGAGAATCGTGAACGGATCTCAGACAGAGAAGCTATTTCTCCTGTCTAGAGAAGTTATTTCCTCCGTATGCCTTCTTCTTCCACTGGATGGCCGGGCGCAAGGCACCGCTAGCTCACCTCTCGCAATTTTTTCGCCGTGAAGGCCGGCGACAAGATTGCCCGGACTTGTTTCCAACGCTGTCCTTTGAGAAATAAGAGGCTGTCGTCCAATCCACCGATGAATTTACCACTGATAATCGGCTGGTGACATGTCAAACGAGCCATCGGTTATTTTCCCTCATCGCGGGGTCAAGTTCGATGCGCAGGCGGCTCGCTTTCGTAGGTGAAAAGTTTTGCGAGCACACAGCCCCTATCGGAACCTCGCAAACACTCGGAGATGGCACTCACCGGGCGATCAGAGAATTTGTGGAAGTCTCTGAGAAGAATTTGTTTCAGGAGCTCTGTGTCCGCAACGATAACCACAGGCGCGAGTCCGTAATAGTAACCGACAACCGGTCCAAATTGTCGGTGCCACTTCCTTTGCATCACCAGGTGACCGTTTCGGTATATCTCCCACATGTTTCCGAAGAAAAAGCTCGGAGTCGGACCCGGAATCTTCAGCCGATCGAATGTTTTCAGCCGGTGGATGCGCCATCTGTGAATGGATATTCCCATGCTTACAGGGGATGAACTACATACATGTTCCGCGGCGGCAAACAACCAATACCGTGCATTCGATTTGACGTGCAGCCGACGGGTGATTGAAGATCTCAAGGGCGAACCCTTGCGAGACGGCTCGTTGTAGATCGACGAGATTTCGGCATACGTCTGCAAATCTATATTCCGAAAGACTCCAGACGGAGAGCGATTTCGGAGTCCGGGACAATTGCATGCCGCGAGCAAAAATCATCCGTCGAAAAGGCTCTGACCTTATGCAATAAGTGATGAAGCCGACGAGGAGTGCTACGAAGAGCGAAGGAATTGTATCCATTGGAGGGTCAGTCCACGAAATGAATTTTGGAGCGGGTCCTTAGCTGGGCAGCGCTCCGATCCGCTCTGGAACACTTGTTGCCTAGGAAAGAGACAACGCCCTTGCAATCGTGTGAAGCAGGCCTGCTGGGTATGACTTTAATTATACGTTGACGCTCTTGAGGGATGTTGCTGTTCATGATGCTGATATTTTCCCATGGCGATGATATGTTCCAAGTCTGACGACCCAGCTACAGAGCGGCAATAGGCATCGCGTCGCCCACAAGCCGCGATTTGAATTTACGCTACCTCGTTCTATTTAACATCTGAGGCAAACGCAGTCATCAGGACCCTAAAGTTCCCCAAATAGACACCCATCAGACAGAGGACTTCTACAGCTGGCCCTGTGAGGACCGAATTCCCGTCTAGCATGGCCTAGCATAGCCTTTAGAGAACGGAAGGTCTCCCATATGCGAGTCTCAAAGGTACAGTATCTCCTCCCAATATGACTTTTCCGACTATCGCTTTTTACTCGATATTATAGGAATTAGACGGACCGGCGTGGTAGAGATCCCGAGGCGGCTACGGCCACGATCATCATTCCCAAAATCCGACTGGGGGGAAAGGAGAGGGAATCTCACGCTCTGGGGGCGAAACTCTCACATGAAGGAATCTCGGACCGTCGAAACGAATGTCTGGTACAAGGGGAGTACCGACCGAGTAAAACAGTCGTTCAAGAAGATACAGAGGACACTCATGCGGTAGATGTCGGATCCGAAAGAGATCCTCTGTCCCCACACGACAGATATGCATAGGTACGTCTGCCAGAGTCACAGAAGAATTATCATACGGCTCAAGTATATACCTCCGATCAGCCGAAATAAGCGCCCAAGCCGAGGGGATTGCGGCGAGAGCTCACGGAACGTGGCTCGTCGACGTTCCAGGGCCTCGACTCGGTCTCTCATGATATGCTTTCGATCGCTTTAAGTTCGTCCATCGCATCGTCAGAAAGGACGCAACGAATCGCGGAATGGATTCAGCTTGATAGCGAACAAGAGCAGTTCCCGAGTCTGCGGAATCTGTTCGTCATAAACTCGTTCCACCCATTTCCGGGAGTTTCCCTCTGAAGCCTCCCCGGGACAGCAGAGATCACGATCGAGGCAAATTGCAACGATGTCTCCACAATCTGCCGGCATTGTGCAGATCTCGTTCGGAGCTCGACTTTCTACTAGTCGGCTCCATCACCCGCCATCGCCCAGGAAAGCAAAATCAAGAGCGTGTCTCCCGAAGACCCTCGCTGACTTAATTCTGATTGAGCTCAGGATGGACCATACCCTTATAGACTGCTCTGATTCACGAAGTCGGAACCGACAACGAGTGTGAATAGATTGATGGGGTTCTGACACATGAAATAAGCATCTAAACGGAGCCGAGCTTTTGACTTTATTCTTATCCAGACACGGAACCTCTCCGATTATAGGTTCCAATAGGCATCGCGAGGGAGTCGAGCTCGCTCTCAAATTGCGATGTTTCGCGGTCGGAAAAGTCGATGAAGCGACACTGATGCCTGCGCCGACGGGTGACTCCGTCAGACGGACGCGATCGATACGTCAGAGCAAATGCAGTTTGCACTTGACGGGGTCTTTGATTTGCTGTAGCACGGGCATCACCAGAGTCTCGATGTATGCTTCGTGTTCCGGCTCCGATTCGGAGGTCATGCGATACTTCGTGAGAAGTTTCGCCATGGTCAACTTGATTTCCATCTGAGCGAACCTCATCCCGATGCAGTTCCTGGGACCGATGCCGAAAGGCTGCCAGTACCAAGCCATGGCCGGAGTTTTGTTCTCAGGCAGGAAGCGTTCGGGTTGAAACTCGTATGGAAGGGGAAATACGTCCTCGTCGTAGTGGAGCTGATTCACGGAGGAAAAGATGTTCATGCCTCTCGGGATCGTCAATGAGCCGTACTTGATCTCCTCGGCAGCAACGCGCGCTGTCAAGCTGTGGGAACCAAGGAGAATTTGACGGAAAATTTTCTTCCGCGAGTCACATGTTTTGGGACCACGGTAGCGTTTAAGTCTCTCTTATGTGATTTTTCAATCATATGCTTCCGACGGAATGTCCAGCCTAGAGAACTCATGACATGGATTATGTTGAGGATACTGCAAGGTTTTGGTCGAGTTTCCGAACAACTTACAAGTAGATCGGTGGGTACATGCGCAGACTTTCCTGTAGGACCGCCTCAGTGTACTGGCATCGCTGCAGACGCTCGAAATCGAAAACCTTCCCACCTCCAGTTGCGTCCAGAAGCTCCTCCCGCATGCGCTCCTGGACTTCGGGGAAACGAACGAGCAGTTTCGTCATAAACGCCATCGAGGACGACGTCGTTTCGTATCTGTTGAGGGGGGAAGGGCGAAGGTATCAGACGATGATCGACCGACATGAAGTAAGCCCCATACGAAAATTCCTGGGATCCCCTCCACGAACCCGGCCAACAAGAGGAGCAAGGCATTGTCAATAACTTCGCTGTCGGTGAGCCCTTTAGGCTTCCCAGCGAAAGGACATTCCGATGGGATGCTCTGTTTTTTCGCAATCTTCAAACTGGCCTCGGCTTCCACCGCTTCAGCATCGTCTCCAGCAATCATTGATTTCAGATCCGTTGCGTGTGCGACCGTATTCTGAGCGTCCATCATCAGTTGCAGAAGATCTGAGCGTTCCGATTTCTGCGAGAGCCGTAAAATGTTTGGGTCGGCTCCGGAAGGGCAATCTGATTTCCGAATTGCTTGATTCCATTCTCAAGTGGTCACCGCCTACCTCAGTATCTGATCTTCTGAGCTTGACAACATCACCGCATTGCTGCTTGAGTTTCACTATCGGGTCCCGACCGGAGTTTTTCGCTCTTTGGGCCAGTGCCGTGAGCAGCTTGCCCGCAAGTTGTAGAAGCGAGGGGAACGAGACTGTTTTCGAATCGAGACGTCGCTTCGTACTCTCGTTGTTGGAGGGCCAGTGTGATATTGATGTAAGAAATTCAGAATTCCACACTCACCGATAATGAGCAGGATGAGATCGATCTGGTAAGCGAGCATCATCTTGACTTGCCGGAGTATTGCCGAGTTGTCGATATTGCTCTGGATTTCGAAGTCGACACCCATCCCAGTCTTGCATATCGTGTCTAAGGTCAGTGCTTGGAAGAGTTCGTAGAAATCGCACTCAGCGTCCTCCGCGAAATGTCTATCCACGTTTTTCATGAACTCATCTGCGGCCGAGCTGACCTCGGGAGTCACCTTCGGATCGAGGAGATCATTGTGATTTGCATTCGACGAGGGAGGACTCGGGGAATGGCAGAGATCTGAACCCAGATCAAGCCGATGGGACTTCTGATTCCCAATCGACTCGAAGAGGGATGAGGGAAGGCGATCTGACCTTCTTGAGCTTTTTTGAAGTAAAGGAAGGTGTCAAAGTAGACCGCACTTCCTTCCAACGTTGCCCTTTCAACGTCAGGAGAGAATCATCGATGATAGATCCATTCTCGCCGCTGATTATGTGCTGGAGAAAAAAAGCGATATCTTTAGGATCCCTTCTGTTCCTCTCGGGCTTAAGGTCGGTGTTTTGCAAACATTCACAAATCCCGAGACATCGGCAGCGGGATCTTATCTCTTCGTGTATTCAAATCACTCAGCTCGACAATGATACTTCCCGCGAACAGGCTTTGAGAGCTTACTGAGCGATCAGCAAAATTATGGAAGTCCTTCAGCAGAATTCTCTTCAAGAGCTCTGTGTCGGACACGAGAAGGCAAGGGAACAGCCCAAAATAAAAGCCGACCACGGGTCCGTACTGCTCGTGCCATTTCTTCTGCATCACCAGATGACCATGCTTATAGATTTCGTACATGTTGCCCCACAGGAACCTCGGAGACGGCCCCGGAATGTTGAGCCGCCGGAAGATACTCAGAACCTTGAGACGCCATCTGGATGTAGGGACGGTCAGAATCACTAAAACTGGACTAAAGAAGTTTCGGAGGGGAGCGATGATCGCCGAGTCTCGAGCCGACGCCGATTGGCGCATTTTGGACACCTACCCCTCATTGAATGTACCACACTCATTTATCGGAATCGATGCATGAATGAATAAAAGCGAGAACTCACCTTAGACAATACACGAAGTACGCGACTAGTAAGGTGCTGAGTACCGCGAACAGCATCGTTCACGAAGAATTATCCCACGGCAGAGTATTCTGATTTTAAGGCCGCGAGCCGGTATCGACTCTGCAGCAGGTTCCAGGACGGTCGCTTAAATGTCCCCCCGGTATCTCCCTCTCCTCTACGTCCTCGAATGGATCACGTTGCGCTCCATAATCCGTCCTGGAGTAGTTTTCGCTGGGTAGCGACGCAGAGTTCACGTATTGATTCGGGGCGTTCCTTTTGCTTTGACGTTCTTCTCGTCAGCTCGCCCGTCGAAATCTTCCCCCCACAGCTGAAGTCTCGACGAAGATAGCACTGAGCATTGCCAGGAAACTGGGGGCTTGTGACGCCGCGCCGGTTCAGAGTCTCGAAACAGCCGGATTAGAGAGAAGCGACAGTCAATCTCGAAATTTTTAGAGACGGGCGAAAACTACTCGTGAGCTCCGCGGCGGTGAGCCGTTAAGCTCTTTTTCTGGGGCTACTGTATGCCACCAGATAGGACACTGAACCAGGATCTCCCTGGAGAGAGAGCTTCCGGACTTTGAGGGAAGATATCAGCCTCTGCCTCCTGAGTCATAAGGGCTCAAGGTCACCTCTCGCAGCTCATCAAGGCTCACGGACATCGGATGCATTCGCGGTGAGGCATCAGGAGTCTCATGTCTCATTAGGCAATGCGCGACGGAGAGCACCAGAATCATGAGTCGGAATCGATGATCGATCTCTTCTGTCAAAATTACCGATATCGATTAGAGCTCCGACAACCACATCGTATCAATGAAAACTTGTGAGCTTGAGATTTCTTCTCGTGAATGTGCTCCTGAACTCCTCGGTCTCTATCGCGATTCTGTGGCGCTTATCCTCCAGATAACACTCCATGTAACCCGCTCGAATCCAAGTGAACGAGCGGTTCCCGTATCCCGCATCATTCCAGAGCGTCGGGTTAGAAACCGTCATAGCGGTTCTCTTAATTCTCATGTGTCTGGCGAGCAGACGAGGAGCGAGAAGTCGACCGAATCCATGCTCGCGATCATTCAGAGCTCACCAGCCCTTCGAGCTCGATGCAGAACTCCAGGATGAATATAATCAATTGGAACCTCGACTGAATAAGTATCGCAGGATTTTCCTCAGTAAACGGTGCGGACAGGCGCTTCCGCAAAAGAGGGGGCTTCAGATTGAGAGTTCGTAATACTAAGGAATAGGAGCGAGTCGCCGTGTTGGGAATGAGCCCCAAGCGAGGACCCGATCTAGGCCGCCCCTCCGCGGCAAATTGCTTCGACACCTTTTTCCTTATCCTCATGTGGATCAGCGACCTTCCGCGATTCCCGCTCTCAAGAGTAAACGTGGGCTCGAGTCTGGAAGTCATTCCGAGGACCCGGACCCGAATCGGATTCATTATCGATGACTTACGGCTTCACGGATGTTGATTATCTCTGGAATACGGCGTCGTGCTCGGACCGAGACAGTGAGACATCACCCAGCCATCAAGGAGAAACGAGACGCATGATCCAACATCGGATCCGGGTGTTAGGGTCGACGATGAATGAAATTCAGTTGAAAGTGAAATCGAGATCAAATTGGGCGAATCGATCCCAGCGATTTGTCACACCGATGGAGTGACAAATGAAAACATTCTTTGCCAGACATCGGTCATAACGATCGAGCACAGATAAAGCCTGACAATGGTTCGACCTTTGCGACTAGGGGATTAACTCAATTATTAGGATAGCCTGATGGTCGAAATCCCGTTATGTGTCCGTTTGGCTCGCGGTAGCCTGATGTAGCCTTATGTGAATGTAGCCTAATGCTTCCGGAGCTCGATTGATCATATTACCTTCGCAATGAGATTACTCCGATTGCCGATTAAGTGAATATCTGGGGATATCGAAGGGCGAAAGCCATCATTTGAATTCCAGGGAATCTCGGGCATCTTCCCGAATGCCAGGCCGGCCCTCTGAGAGAATGTCCAAGGCGAAGGTATTTCTTAAAACGCGGAGCGCCCGACTCGAGCTCGCCGCATCCCACATTCCAGCAATAGCAGCGCGAAGGCGATTCACCGAGCTAATGGAAACACATGTCGAACATTTCAATTTCCATATCTCGAATGGAATAGAGTTTCTTCTGATAAAGCAATCCGGAGGGAGCCGGGAGTCGCCTTATACATATGTATGGTTCTAATCTCTGAAGCTCCAAACTGTGAAGGAGGACCTCTCTAAACTTCATTCACTTGACTAACCGTAGATTCAAAGTGCCGGCCTGCACATCGGTCATGTCCCTCGTAAAGCGGAGCCGAAAGCGTGTCCAGTGCGAATGGTTGGATCACTGGCCTCTGGGCAGTAGCGTAGTAAGGCGGGGGCGGGGGGGGGGGCGGACCGCCCCGGGCGGCACTTCCTACGGAGCTCTTAGGGGCGGCATTTCGGGGTTTCAAACCAAAAAAAAAACGGAGTGTTTTCGAGGAAAAAAATATCTGGCAGGGGGCGGCATTTTCGTCGAGCATGGTGAAAAACGGAAAACGAATCACCGCCCCGGGCGGCACTCCGGCTCGCTACGCCACTGCCTCTGGGTGTGCGAATCCTGTACCCTATCTGAGCAAGAAGATCTTGATTCGGAACAGAGGAGTTTCATAAAAATCACCGTACCGAGCAGAGACTCTTATGGGTGGAATGCAGAGATGGAATACTTGGAGAATAAGGGGGTACTTCTCGGGATGACGTCGCTCACCCGCTGGGTTTCAGGGGTGAAATATTGATGCTGGAATCGAAAACCCCCTCATTTTTCAGAGTCTTCCAGCTCTGTTTGGTGATTGAGGTTTTCCGCGGTTGAGCTCTGATACTGCCTCGGATCGACAAGAATTACACCATTCATATCAGCAATGATAGCAGTGGTCTGTGCATGTTGAACCTCCACACAAGCTTGCTCATGCGAGGATTTCAGGAGAAAATTATTTTCTCTACCACAGGAAATGTTCGGAAGCTCTGCCCGAGCATAAATCGCTAATAGGCCTGGAGCCCAGCATATCGTGAGCGACGATTGCATCGACGGTTTCGAGGAATTCGAATTAGGCTGGACGGCGGGGTATCCTGAATTAAAACCAGGCCGACCTGGCGTGTCCATTCAAGAGCCGAATATCAGTTAGTAATCAAGATGATTTCGCACTGAAAGCACCTCCGCATTGAGAACCATTTGCGGCGTCCGCTGGTCGATAGCTGACTGCTGCCTCGGATCAGCTAGAACTAGCTCAGCCTCAATGCGATGAAGATCGTCTCTCTCAGATTCTAACAATTTCGGAGGAAGCAGTCCTCATTCCGCGTCGGAGAATCAGCTGGCGACAAGGTCCGTGCTTACCTATTCTGTTCCGGCATTAAAATAATGTTCCGCGCATCCGAGCCCGAAAAGTGGAAATTAGCTCAGCTACGCACAGATGTTTCTATGAGGCGTCGCTGGATAATCTACCGATCTCGATATCCTCCAGCTTCCATTCGTTTTAAGAGCCTGTCAACATCGATAGGGTGCACCTATCCATTCGCGATATTGAGACGAATATCCGACATTGCGGCTTCGTCGAGGTTGAGATGATGAACATTTCAAAACTCGTCTGGAACGATATTCAACCTACATCTAAACTTAGGTGTGGAGTAGTCTGATGGAGAGTTTCACCAACGGAGCCTTCCACTGAGGGTACGACTTTCTCCCCATCGAGTTCCCCGTCCTAGATTCGCGACGCGGGTACGCGTCGCGAGACCACTCTCCGATAGGGCTGAGGATGCTGCGGATAATCCCGTGTCCACGATCTCTTGATCAAGTAATCTGCTATCCTAGTCATCGTGTGGAGGGGAAAACCTGAAAGAAACGGATCCGTCGAAGAAGAAATTATTATCCAGGAAGTTTAGAAGGAGAGGAAAATCATTACCTTGACCCGCCGCGACTTCGAGCGCGTATGTCCTGAGATGAGCTATGTGGAGCTCCGAGTACGCCGTGGAATTCTCCTTGGATGACCGGAGCGGCTTCCGCCCCCGCACGGGGGGGACGGAAGCTGGAAATTGCTTAACTTATACCCCGGGACGCGATTCGTGTGCAATATTTCAAAATACGGAAGCTTCTCATTTTTCGAGCCTGTTGGGAAAACCTATTCCGATCTTTGAACGGGCCATTTTCGCTCAATGTGTACATGTGGTAGAGTCACCAGCAGTGATGGTCCCTCCCGAATTCAGCCCGTTTGTCAGCCCATCAGGTGTCTCTGAAGTTTCGTCAATCGAGAAAAGGTTTGCTCGTTTGGGTCGAGACCTGGCCGTCCGAGAAGGTTCCCGCCCCAAGGAGAGCAATAAGATAGTGCCGACAACATGCTGCATTACTTTGCGTTCGCCGGGCTGATTTGCCTTCTGTAAGTCGTATTGATCCATTATTCATTTTCTGAAACATAGCAGGGGTCGTACGACGTAACGCCTCTTCCGTGATACTTACTTCTCTGTGCCTTCGATTTTTGGAGTCAGCGGCGGCTTCGATACGGTTGCCATCGACGATCAGTTCAGGACCGCCTAGTTTCCAGGAATCGACGGCGTCATTTCTCAATCCATCAACGCAACAAAGTACCAGGACCGGCCCCCTCGTTGCTATTCGGTAACATGTGGGACATCTACATGCATGGGCACATCACTATGGTCGAGCGCTGGCATAAGCTGTACGGACCTGTGGTCGGGTATTTCTTTGGCTCGATACCGCTCATCAACTGCTCTGATCCCGAATATCTGAAGAACATCCTCGTGAAAGACTTCCAGAATTTCTCTGATCGCTCCGTAAGTTCATGATTATTGTCTCACCAGTGGTATTCGATCATGACATCGGTCGGATGTAAGAGGCGTGACGACAAGGGTAACGGGATGAAATATGAATATGAATCGCCCTCGTCGAATTCGCTCCCCAGATTCTCACCAAGGGAGATAACTCCCGGTTCTTGGGGTTTTCTCTGAGCTCTCTGACAGGTCAGCGCTGGAAGGTCAACGAGCTCTATGAAGCATTAGGTGGTGACACCATGTGCAGAGCGGCAATGGGAGTGAACTTCGGCCTACAGAAAAACTTCAGGGGTTCAGATCTGCTCAGATTGACGAAGTTCCTCCTTTTTGAGCAAGTGAACTTATTCTGAGTGATCGTAGGTGAGTTCATGGTCCAGACCCTCTTACTCGATCCCGGAATCCTCGATAGCTTTTGCAAGAGAGTCGTTTCGCTTTTCAAATCTATTCCGAATCGCCGCCGATTAGAAAAACACTGTCCGCCAGCTCTAATGGGAGCGCTGATGGTTTTTTCCGAACAGTCTCTTTTCCGATTGTGTGGACAACCGTTGGAATTTATATCGCTGATCTCTACATGAAGAAACATTACAAGGGAAAGCACCCCCTTGCTTATCTCAAGGAGAGTTGCGCCGAAATAGTTGCTCTTCGGCGGAGCAATCCTGAGGTGAATACAGCCAGGCCTAGAGGTCAAGCCCCCCTGACGAAATGCAGATGAAAAGCCCTCGAAACCTTTGTATGTACAATTGATTGAAATGCTCTTTTCTTCTCCCATCTCTCTTCAGACCTGCCGCCCTGACCTCCTTCAACTGCTCATGGATTCTCAGAGTGTCGAAAATCATGCCCGTTTCGACGATGGATTTGAGCAATCTTCGAAAGCTGCAGAAACTACCGACTCTGAATGTGTCTTTTCAGGGGAATCGAAGCGATTGACCGATGACCAGATAACGGACATGGCGAGTTCTGCTCTCTTAGCAGGGTAATTATCTCTTCAGGGTGGATTCTTATCTCTTACTTTTTAAGCTCATTGCCGTCACCAGGAAGATCGCTGTCGCCATACTGTAAACCGAAGGCTTTATGCAACGATGGCTTCAGCGAAAAAACGGAGTACCGAATTTCAGATCAGGAACGACCTCCACTGCGCTTTCTTTCACAACGAAGCTACTTCTTCGTTTCCCCGAGGTCCAGGAGAGGCTCCGAAACGAGCTCCTTGCCGCTACAGATCGAGGGACGAAATTTGATTTCGACAGAATGCAGAAATGCGCGTACATGGAAGCCGTGATTTTAGAAGTTCTCCGCATGTATCCACCGCTTCTCTTGTGAGTTTCACATATGCCCAATCACATATCCCTGCTTCGAGCCGCTTTACGCTTCATCATGCTGGAACGTTTTGCGGGCAGCGACGGATTTATGAATTTGCCGCTATTGGGCTTAATCAGGACCACCGCCCCAATATAAGCCGTCTAGAAAGGGGTTCAGACGCTTTGCAGCGCGGGCAGCCGGGTCTCAAAAAATTCTCCTCTGTTCCCGGATGGAGAGAAAAACAGGCTGTCGTTGAGGCGGTTGATTAGGATTGATCTCAGGGATTTTTCGGGAGATTAGGTCCCCTCAACAATTTTTGACTAGGCTCTCTGCCGAAAATTCACTGCTCCCCGGTATTCGGCCCCCTACCCCCGAAATCTGCCTCTCCAGTCTACAGCCTTGTGGTCCTTCTGGGTTCATCCGCCATTGCCCGCGGGGGATTCCTGTCCCGTAGCTGAATCTAGTTTCTTTCCGGGCTTGCGATAAGCATCGACTTTCGATTCCAGCTTTGAGGCGCGCCACACCGCGCAAGATTACGAGATGGGCGATTTTACTATCGCGAAAGGTGTAGAGGTCTACGTCTCGGTCAGATCGCTGCATTACTATGAGGAGATATTCGCGGATCCATATTCGTTTCAACCGGATCGATTCTTGCCAGAAAACAGAACTCTGGCAATGTCTTTGGCGCATCAGCCGTTCGGAGCTGGACCTCGGAACTGCATCGGCAAGATATTCGCGATGATGGCAATGAAGACAACTCTAGCGAAACTGCTCACGAAGTACGAGTTGACGTCTCATCGAGAACCTAGAAATAATGCAAAACTCATTCCCTCGCAGTCCCGCATTTTCCAAAAGCTTGACGGTCCTCTGCTCTGCAAACTCAAGGAAATCTGAGGATAGATCAATACCAATACCAATCTTCTGATTCGGAGATGCCTCGGACGTACGAGGAAGACGCGGAAATCATGGACATCTCATTGAGACTCGATTAAGTCGTGGGCGAGATCCACAATGTTGTGAGAGGGTCAAGTTCGGCTCCTCCTGCGTCGATCCTACAATGAAATCGATTTTGTATCGGCTGTCGAGATGACAAACATGGATCAGTTTTCTGGTCTTGCGGCGATCCATGGCATGCCAGCGAGAGCTACTACCTCGTTGGTCTGACAGAGACCTGCATTAGACGCCTTGAAACGAGAATTCGCATATATGGACGAGCAGTCAGGCATGATGGAACATCCATTCGCTCTCCGATATCCCATTCATATGATTCCCGGCGCCTCTGGACGAGAGTTGGTCATTGATCTTATTCGAGGCGGTGGACATGTTTTATGATACCTGCTGAGCCCACATGATACCGGTCTCCCATTAGCGTCTTTCCCATCAATGGTGAGGGTTCGTCGCTCAAGGTATCCAGAAGCGGTAGCACATCGCCTTGACGACATGTGCAGTCCTTTACCGAAGAAAATCAATCTATTCCAATGCGGGCTGCCTCAGCCACTCTTCCCCTGAGTACACGAACTCCCCGCATTCTCCTCTGAACTGTATGATTCTGCATTTATGTTTATACGTTTCTCAACCACGCATCCCTGCGTCGTCGCTGGATGAGCCATGGCAATGGGCGACTCTCCACTCTTTCTCCCAAAGACCAGGTTCGGGTAATAAAAGTTGGAGCGCTCTCATTGACACTGGTGTCGGTCGGGAACCCGGAACATCGTAGATCGGAGAACGTGCCTTGTCGCATCATGCGGCTGGCCCGCAGACACATTTTCGGAGCTCGTTATTTTTTCTCGACGTCTCTTCCGTTCCAAACACCCCTTGTCTCGACTAGCACCCACTTGACCGAAGATCTGAGCCTCTCTCTATTTCTGCCACTTCAGAGAAAGTCCAAGTTCGTTGCAGATGCGAGACGGAATACTACATCGGATTCATGGAGTTTCTTACAGCCTCCGATTTTTCACAACCGAAGAATGCAACAGTCGACGCTTTGCGATGCTAGTCAAGCAGCGTCGGGTCGTAGTTCTCGGGACGAGCCTGTTGGACCCAGAGAAGTCTGATTCTTCAGCTCTCTGATAGTACTTCGGGCGATCTAAGCCGCAGTATGCATCCCCAGAGAGCTATCGGACTCTCACAGCTCGATTCACTCCTCCGCGAGCGCCCTGTCGGCGGGCGGAAAGGGAAACGATCCACCGCCATCCACGAGCTGACCAACACCGATCGCCGTCAAACACTGCCGTGGCAGAGAGACGCGTATCGCTGTCGGAATGTTGCTTTATGTAACTTGCGCCGTACTTGGACTGATCATCTTCGTATGGTGAGTGTGATCTATCATTTTATTCTCATGTGTTCTCATTCCCACGATATCCAGATGGATGAGAAGCTTCCATTAATCTTCAAGAAGGCAAAAACTTTTCGCGAGCCTTCCATTATGAGTTTCTCTTCACTCGCTCTGATTGAATTGTGCATTTTGATGTGGTCGATTCGAGATCGATGGTCTCACTCTTCAAACACAGGGGCGCGGACGGGGAAGCAGGGGGTGCTTCTCGAAACGATTCTCGGCAAGAAGAGCCCTCTCCGTCTGATTCTCTCGCTCAAGAGCGTGGACGGGAGCGCGTATTCTAGTACTGCTCGGTTGCAGGCAGCGACGGCGGCACCTCTCCATTCATCAACGCAACAATATACCGGGACCACCCCCGTCGTTCTTTTCCGGAAACTTGTGGGACATCTACAAACATGGTCACCTAAAGATGTTGAGTCGTTGGCACAAGCAATACGGACCCGTGGTCGGATACTATTTTGGCATGAAACCAGTCGTTGTCTGCGCTGATCCAGAACATCTGAAGACGATACTGTTGAAGGAATTCCACAACTTCGCCGACCGCTCCGTGAGTCTGTCGGGGCGATTTTCCGTCTGCCAGAGTTCGAAGGAAACCCGAGCGGGGATCGAGAGCGAAAACATTCAGAAAAATCTCAAGCTCCGAGCTGAAAGTTGACAGCCATATTTTCCCCTTGCCCAGGACCTAGTCAGCGGAGGCCCCGTCGGAGGTCTGGATAGTGCCTTGACCGTCCTGCGCGGCCAACGTTGGAAGGACGTGAGGTCGACGCTGACACCGTCGTTCACCTCGAGAAAACTGAAACAAGTAATCAGCTCGCGCTTCAACCAGAACAATCCTCAATGAAAATGTTGATATCGGCTTATCGAGATCTAATAAGAAGGTATCCAATGGCGATTATACTTCCAGTTGAATCCCGAGGTGTGCTCCATTGTAGACGGGTTCCTGAAGAATATCGATACAGAGTTCGCGAACTCGAACGAGTTCAACATCTACGAGCTCTATCAAGCCCTCACACTGGAAACTATCTGCAAGACGGGCATGGGAGTTGACTTTGGTATTCAGGAGGACATCAAGAACTCGAAGATCCTCGACTCGTCGAGGCTTATTTTCACCCAGAAATTCAATTTAGTTGGGGTGATTATAAGTGAGTAAGTCCTACTCGATAAAGAGATTCTAGACTGTGATACCGTTCGATACACTACGAACCGATGGAGATTTCCGCAAAGTCATGGTTCGCTGGGAGTCTCGCCGATACTAATCGAATCGGCTAAATCCTCGCAGTTTCTTTTCCTATCCTGTGGCCGATCCTCGGTAAGCTCATCACCGCACTGCGACTTCGAGCGCAGAATGAAGGCATCAATCCAGTGGATGATCTGAAAAAAAAGTGTGCCGATGTAGTCAAACTTCGACGCGCGAACCCCGAGGTGAGCGCAAGGGGAACGATTTTCGATTTCGAGGTCGATTCGAGCAATTCGAGAAAATTCGATTTATGTAAAATCGATGTGCTTCACCAAATCCTCCTCCTCCAGAATCATCGGGTCGATCTTCTCCAATTGATGATCGATGCCCAGAAAACCGAAAAGCCGACCAGCGATGACGATCTGATCGCCGGAGACGTCGCAGAGGAAAAAGACAGAGAGTCGAACGAGGCAGCTGCGAATGTCGCGGGTTCCGAGTGTCCATTCTCTGGGAAATCGAGGGGACTGACCGACGATGAAGTCATAGACAATGCTTTCCTAATTCTCCTGGCAGGGTAAGGCCCTCGTTTTGTCCGATCCCGTTACTGAACCAGTGCCTCCGTTTCGGTTGCCGGATGGCGTCGGGAGAATCCTCCTTCTTACCGCCATTACTCATTGGTCGTGACGTTGAGCGTAAGGAGCTCTTATTTCTAGGTTCGAGACGACCTCTTCGTCCTTAGCTTTCATCACGAAAATGCTTCTCCGTTTCCCCGAAGTGCAAGAGAAATTGAGACAAGAACTCCTGGAAGCTACAGATCGGGGGAAGAGATTCGATTTTGAAAAGTTGCAGAAATGTCACTATATGGAAGCAGTCATTCAGGAGGTTCTCCGCATGTACCCACCCGTGTTCTTGTAAGTTTTCTGCAGCTCAAGCAATTCACCGATGGAGGCGCGGGAAATTGTCAATGAATGAGTCCACAAAAGAGTGACGGTAGGATTCGCTGAGACATAGAGGAAGCTGAAGGGGCCTTGATTACAGTTTCACAACCCGAGAAGCCAAGGAAGACATTGTCATCGACGATTTCACGATCCCCAAAGGCATGGGGACGTTCGCCTCAACGGACGAACTGCATCACAATGAGGATATATTCCCGGATCCTTACAAGTTTCGGCCGGAACGCTTCCTACCGGAGAACAAGACGTCAGCGATGTCTTGGGCATGGCAACCTTTCGGGGCAGGACCGCGGAACTGCATTGGCATGAGATTTGCTCAGATGGAGATCAAAATAACATTGGCGAAACTGCTCACGAAGTATGTGCTATCGTCCCGGTTGGAGCCTTTGAACGATGAGCACATCGAGACCGATGATTTCCCCGTCACTCAACGAGTCGGAGAATCTTTATTGTGCAAAGTCGAGCGAGTTCAGCTATCTCCCGAATGAAAACGTCTGAGAATACTTCGCTCCCCAACCCCTGCAACCTCCATTCGGCTTCTTGTCCGGGCTCGTTTTCTCCACGATGATGTATTTACTCACGAGAAGATTGGATCGATCAGAGGACACGCTCATTACTCAGGCATTGTCCCATTGTTGCTTCTCTTGTAATTTTCGATGTAAATCTCGGTTCCGGATGTAGCATAGATTGTCGAAAATTGGATCTAGATCCGATTCTCACCGATGCCAAGCCTCTGGGAGAAATAAATGGAGGGGATCCTTTTCGTTAGTGATTATCACAGACGCAACAGCTAGCCAAGGGCACATCGTGAATGGGGTCTGCGGTCTCCGGTTTCTGATAATCGTTACATGTAGCTTCGTTTGTTTCCCATGTACCGAATCAAAATGTAAGGGGATGCCGATTTGGACCGACGTAGCTCGAAAACTGATCAGACGTGAGATATATGGGATATATCTCTTTCTTTGCTCTGACAATGGCTGCCGCGAACTGGCTAGAGCTTCACAAATTGATTCAACTGAAATCGACAGGCCGCAGACTGGACAGACTGGAAGATATTCCGAGGCGGAGCACGCCCATATTCCGGCCTCGGAAATCGATGGGCGATCAGAATATGAAAACATGGCCGACACAAGGATTTGGGCGCATCGGAATCAGCGGGAAGGCATTCCCTCAACGCTCAAAGAGCCATTGGTCTTGAGCTGCGCTCGTCGGCACATGGAGTGGTCCTCCCCAGGGCGACCTGAGAAAGATCCACAGCAAGCAGTCGGAGTAGAGTCAGGAGTGATCCGAGATCCCTTGAAGAGTAAGCAGCGGGTCGAACTCTCCTCCTCAAGATACAAGTTGTGGTCAGGTTCTACAGAGGTGAGCCCTCCAGCGTCGATCAACTTCGCTGGAAATCAGGTGGAGATCGCATGGAATCTTCACGACATATGTCTCCTCAGAGGTTCCGGGAAACTCAGAAGCGGATGATATATTCACCACGAAGTCAGCGCTTATAGATTATGCATCGGCACATCCAGCGGCCATATTCGAAATCTTGGGCATTCACGATTTAGGGACGATCTTGGATATCTCAGAACTCAGAACATAACCTGATCTAAGAACAATGTAAGCCGATCAGCGATGGAGAGCCCATCAAGAAGGGAATCTCCTTCAGAGACTGCCGCGAAGAAGCAGCGCCAGTCCAAAACGGGCTCTGGAGGGATATGTTGAGGGACAACTGCATACAGAGCGGAATCGTCTCGGCATCGAAACAAGCTTGCAGGATGCTGGGGAAATAAGACCCGTGATGGTCGAGAAGCTGGATTCGATCCGAGGAAACCTACAGAGACCTACAGATCTCCCCTCTCCGGTGCTATACCGCATATCCATGACAATCTTAGGAACCGAGATCTCCGACTGGGAGGAGGGGAAGTGATGCTGGGAGACATGCAGGCCGGATACCAGAGGGAAGCGAGGATGGCCGGATGCATTGCTGGATGAATCCCCTGATACTGCGTCGGGAATTCAGGAACCACTCTTCTCTGCGGCACCTTCTTGTACCGGTGAGATTGGGCTTAGACCGGGGAGACTGAGGAGGGCCGATGGGCGGAGATGTCATGCATACGCTTCCGTAGCTATGGGGTTGCGAATATTTTAGCACATGAAAAGCGTGGCTACTCATGTGACCCGGATGCCAGTTAGCCCGAATGATGAGTTGGGTTCCCCGCTCAAACACTCCCGTTGGGTTGGAGGATTGGACGGCCAAGAAGTGGAAACACGCAGGATTTTCTCGTGGGAGCGCTGACCTGAGTCTGCGCGCGTGAGTAACATTGAATAAGGAACGATCTCTGATGACGGAAAACTTCTCCAATCGATATAATATGGGCAAGCCAACAATCTATCATCAATCAGAGCCAACGTCAAGTCGCAGAGAATGAACGAGTGGCATCATTTGCTCCCTGTGAAACGCATGGATCGTACACAGTCAAGGTAAGTGCCGAGGCACCACACGGAAAATTCCATCAATGTAGATTGCGAGAGCTCCCCAAAGGGATGCCATCGAATCACGGGGAGCAAATCCGAAGGTTCTCTTGGGCGGTCCTTGATTGAAGAGCGGGCGGTTTCCATTGTTGATCTCCGATGCAGGATCGTGGATAGCACGTCTTTCCAGGACAGCATCGGCCGAAGCATCGTTGTAGACTTGCTTGCAAGATTCGTCCGGCTGGAAAAGAATTGCCTATTCCGTGGCAAGCCTCGCGTCTCGCCCTATGCGATAACCCCGCCCCGCACCGTGATTGTGAAGGAATACCAATAGGTGATTCATTCGGGAAGAGTAACAGCCCGAATACTCTCCCGTCCCGGCCATCGTTACCAAGTCCGCCTACCGATCCAATCACGACCAATGGTGGGTCGAGAGGTCTGCGCGTTCACATTCCCCTTACAGACGCGCCCTTCGCGAATTAGGAATCTCTTCTCGAAATGCTGCTCCCTTTCCGTGAGCGTCACGCAAGAGGCGATGGCCCCCATCAAATCTCTCGGCCATAATGCTGGAGTATATGCCCAGGATAGGCGCATCGTCATCTTGTTCAATTGCCCCCCACTCGAAAAAAATCTGTGCACGCCCCTGGGGACGCTGCTCGTGCGCGAGATGGCGTTTCAAGGAGTGAGAGGTCCGACCCCTGCTGCCGGCAAAACTTTCGCTCAGACAGAGCAGGTACCGGAGCTCCACTGGGGAACGACCTAGCCGCGCATACTTTCTCTGGTCCAGCCCGGAAAAGCTCGGATACAGCTCCAATTCAACCGAGCATCGGCTCGAATCCGAAGCGCACGTCTCCCGCGCTTCTCTCTCGCAAATCCTTTCCTCTGACTCACGCACAGAAGGAATCATACCCTAAGGATGATCGAGCGTGTCATCATAACGCTCAGAGGGGCGCGCTCGAGGACTTCTACGAGGAGCGGGGGTAATGTCCCCTCCCACAGAAAACGACATAGAAGCGGCAATGTGTCCAAGGAGCGACCACACGGCTCAGCAAGGACAATTCGACGCTGTTCGAAGCCGACGCCATCATCAAGGTGAATGCTGCCTCTTGATAAGGCCCTTATGCCTTCCCATGACGCGCTCAAAGCGCTGAATTCTGAATGTTGAAAATTTTCGGGGCGGACCTGGAAACAGTGACTTCGAAATGAGGTAACATCAGCTTGGCGATCGATGGAAATTGCCGTCTCACCTGATTTCAGTTTTCTCGAGACTGTATGCTCGTGGAAGGCGAGATGATTTTGGCCGCGAAACCGATGGCCTCCATCATACGACTCCGCGCAATGTTGAAGCTCAAGATCGTCGAACGGAAGACGGAGGACCGAAGTGTCGCGAAGGTCGAGCGCACTATGGAATCACGGAAGGAATTGCCGGATTCCCGGGAGAAAGCGACTCCTCAGAAGAAATCGGCAGGTCGACTCGAAGCGCATTAGATACAGCGGCCACCTTCGAGGCATTCCTGGGAGACGCGTGGGAAATGGCTCAAGGCAAATCGAGCAAGCTCAGAGAGTCTTCCGGTGGGGCGTGCATGTCCAATTATGAGCAGCGAAGGAGGCGCTGCGCTGCTGCCGAAGACGGTGGCGGCGGTCCCCGACACGCTTGCCCCAACGGGTGCATCCGCTGGTTGAGTCTACTGCAACCGCCAGTCGAACATGAAGAAGACGATCGGATTCCGAGGAAGCCTCTGATCGTTCCTTTTCTAGCTGGAGACTTTGCCGTTGCAGGTATTCGAGCGGAAAACCGGCCTCGAGCTGACCTACGTCGGCTGTTAGTCACTGAGGCATCGTTTCAGGGGGGTTGGGGGTTGTGAGAATTCAGGTGGTCGTCCCGAGCCACCTTCCTCCGGTCGTCTTACATGCTGTCATCTGAACTTGAGATCTCGTTGGAGAGTTGGAAATTAGGCAATGTAATAAACTAAAAACTTCCAAGAATCCTCAGCTATATGTATATGGATTACTTCCCATCCGCTCCTTCGTTTAGGTGGGCGGCGACCGATTCTCCTCAATATTCAGGGAGATGCAATGAGTACTCGTTTTTTAGCGGCCCACTTCCGTGGTCTCCCGCGAGACTCGAATAACTCCCGCAAGTTCGGAGTCCTGGGTTGAAGATAGCCCAATCGTCGGCCAAATCTCGCAAATCCCTTCCATATTCTGGACATATTCGAACCACATAGAACGAGTTTTTACCATCGAGTAAGAATCGGTTCCCCCAGATCTTCCCTGAGCATGTGATTTGTACCAGACGATAATCTAGGAAATGACTTCCGCGGGACCCTAGGCTTCCTCAATGAGAAGCAGTTCCTCCTCTTGCTCCTCTGTGCCTTGACCGCCCCTCCCAGAGCAAGGCGCCGTTCAGAGACCTCTTCCCGGTGGACAAACGTCTACTCTCCGTCGTACAACCAGCAAGCCGACTCCTAAACATGAGTTCCTTAGCTCCTAACATGCTTGAGATAGATACTTTCGCTTGGCTCTCTAGTTCGAGATTCGAGTTCCACCCCATCTGCTGAGATAAGCTGCCCACTCCAGCTCCTTTGTCCACCCCGCAGTCCGTAAATCGTCGCGTGATCCAGTGTCCGTCAATGGTGCATGTTCTGCGGCGTGATTTACATTGCATTCTATTCGTATGCTCGAGCGCCGTGCACTTCCGTGACAGAAATCCCTATCGGCTGCCAGGATGGCGGCAGGCAGGGTCACTGCGAGCCATGGTCTCTGACATGGATGAGACCCCGACCCCGGTGTGGGGGGAGGGGAGGGGGCATACGCGCGATTCTTCGGGATCCTTTTCGATGTATTGTCATATCGCAGAGGATCCGAGGACTCGGTCATAGCCGGCTCGCTGTGCAGGGAAATTTTGGAGGGCGCGATCCTCGAGGATCTTGGGCGATTCCCTGCGACGCCCCAGGCGGATCACACCGAATCCTGGAGTCCTGAGAACCGAGTCCTCAGATTAGAAGCTGAACCCGGCGCTCTGAAATGCCTGTTGGTACCGCCTGATTTCTATCGGACGCCGGGCAAAGATCATCGTCATCATCGTCTCGATATGTGCTAGAGTCTTTCCCCGGGTTGTTTATCCACTCAATCTTTCAGGAAGCAGTGGCTCCCATATCCCAGAGAAGCGAGATACCTCCCTCGATAGCCATCCCTAAACGCTCGATCAGTATACGATATCCCTTAACACACGTTCTTCCGTTCAAAAAAAAACGTCGTTCTGTCCATCTGTCCACAGCCGCTCTTTCTCGGACCACATGACGTCATTGATACTCCGCGGTCGCTCTCTCTCATCCACAATACGTGGTGTGGATGTTTTTGTTTTGAACCGAACTCGCGGAACGGATCAGACAGAATCTGGATTTGGTGGGAAGTCTCTCCGATTATGAAGCTATCCGTGGAGCAAAGCGAGCGCCCTAACTATTCCTTGTTCGTAAATCAGTCCATTAAAAAGGGATCTTGTTGACCGCGGGTTAGGCGCATGCGTGTAGTCGCTGGGAACAGAGAGAGTGTGCTTGAATGGAGAATAAAAGTGTGTGGCCGAAAGGCAGCTGGCACTATTTACAAACTACAAGGCCTGTGTGAGGCGGCCACAGCGGAAGCAATATCATCTATTTCGAAACGAATCGGTGGTGATTCGTATGAGTGCCCAGTGCCCAGCCTCGGAAAGTATTCTTAGGAGTGACTGCTAGTGCATTTCTGGATACGACATTGGAGTAGAGCAAGCGACTCGATCGAGAAACAGTGAGAAAGTTCGAGACAGTCCGCCAGACACACCAGCAGTGAGCCAGTCAGTCATTCAGTCAAGGCAAAGCGTAAGGTTTGTTTTGATTCGGACGACGACGTCAACACGGGATATGTTCACAGTGTTCCCACAACGGATGGTGGTCGATCTCAAAGATATCAAAGACTCTTCTGCTGGAAATACTTCACCAATGGATGAACTCGTGTCCGCCATCCGGGAGAACCTCAAGCTCAAGGCGCCAGTTTCTCTAACGGGCGTCTGTCGGTCGTGCACCTCGCGAACCTCGAGGCGGGTTTCGCCGTACAGTATACCCAGCAAGGAAAATCGTCGCGATCAGTGTTCGTGTCGACGGGTGTCTTCACCTCGCAACCAATCCGAGCAAGAGGATCCATACGAGCTGTTGCAGGTGCTGCTCAAGCAAGGCACCCTAATTTCAGAAGCCGTGCGACGACTCCAAGACCCGAAGCGGCGCGGCACGAAAAATTCTCAAATTCTCGGATCGCCTCCTTCGAACGATTCATGTGTTAGCTGTGATTCAAACTCTGCTCCGGTCGCCGCATCGACGACGACAGCTGCGAAGAAAACAACTTCGAATGGGAAATTCTTAGCGTGCGCGGCGACTTAGTGACGTGGATCTGCAACGGCATCATCATCTGCGGCAGAACCGACGGCGGCGAAAACAACAAAAGATGAAGAGCGATGCTTCCTCACCCGCTTGCTCGCGACCCGATCTTTGTCCGACAGCGTAGGGTTCTTCGTCGGCTGGAATCAGATGCAAACAATGAATAGCGGAGAGGAAACTCGTCGTGAATCTAGGACATCTGTTTATCAATTGCAAACTGTACACTGCATCGGCAAAAGACCGGAATTCCAAGTTCGCCCCGTCATAGTTGTATGTTGTTTGAGAGTTTAGCTCATTCCTAATTATTACAATGTCGATATTATAAGGATGATGATGACAATAAGGATAATAATAACAAGATTAGCTCTATCAACTACTATGTATGTAGCAGAAGGTGTTTGCGCGCCGTTCTTTCGGTCGCCTATGTAGAGGACCTTGTTGTTCACTTGCAAAACTCAGGATGTGTCTGCGAGATGATAGCGTTTTTTCGAACGGTGTCTTCGGGAAAACAATGATTGGGAGGGAGAGGAACGAGCGGCCTCCGTGTCAGAGCCGCGCTATTTCCCCGCTCACTGGAGAAGCGACCCGAGACGGCCGCTCGGTTGGACACCACATCTCAATTTAGGCCTGTTTTTCCAATTTTGGTGCGATCTCTCAGCACGCGGATTGCGTGGATATCGATTGAGGGAGCAAGCGGACCTGCTCAAGCACGAGTATGGCGACATTTTCTGTTGTCGGATCCGGCTACGATGCTCGTTGTGGTGAACCCGCGAGCTGAGGAGGGTTGGACGACGTCGGAGACGAAGCTGAGGGCTTCGTCCACGGTCGATCGACGGGAGATTCGAGATCCGACATTTTGACGATGTGGTCACGCTTTCAAAAGCACTGAGAACAATCCGCATGCTGGAGACGCTGAGTGTAAATCTCCTGATCATGTCATGTTTTTGTAGAGGTCTCTTTCGTAATGAGAGAAATATCCGCAGAATAAGTTATTTCGCCGCGGGTAGCGGCCGAGATTGTACGTTAAGCATTAAATTAAGAGGGATGGGTTGACTAAGTTAGCGAAAGTCACGTGAGTGTGTCCACACAAGAGAGCAAGCAAGCAGTCGAAAATAGAAGGCAGACCAAATGAGGAGATGACAGGGGTATTCGGAAGATCGAATTTCAGAATAAAATGATGAGCGCTACGATTCGGTCGCCAAAGTTGACTCGATGCTTTTTCACTCAGATCATTTCCCGGAGACAGATACCGAGCGCAAGGATTTCATCCTCCCCGGGCTAGAGAGCTCAAATCATCCGCAAATCAGCATAGAGGGTTTCAGTACCTTGACGCGCCAGACAGAAGTCGGACGGACGCCATATAAATTCGATTCTGGTTGACGAGAACATCAGTCGGCAGCATATTCGTCAATCGGGACACCGTTCCCTTCCCGAACGATTCCAAAATCGCTGCCTCAAAAAAATCAGTTTTCGTTTTCATCTGCTGGATCAGCTGGCCTGTTTCGGTGAATGTACATCTATCGCCCTCCAGACGAGACTCACGTGGTGGACACCGTTGGCTCTGGGCTCATCGGCCCCGAGGTGCAGAGACCCTTCAAGGCCAATGCGAAGTTGCTCTTCTCCTTCTTCTGCTGTATGGACGCGTCGCGACAGAATCTGTCTGCTGGCCAGCCGCGTCGACGGTCGACGAACTCCATCGGCTGTTTCGGTCGCCTTAGTCGATTCACGCCAAATTCTAATCGCAATTCGGTGTGTTCCTCTCCGGTTTCACCAAACAACCCTCATGATTCTCCCTCAACCGCATCTGCCGGTCGAATTTTCGACAGGCACATGGATAGTTCGAGTATGTAGAAAATACTTATCCCTAGCTATACATATGTATGTCTTCGGCCAGGCTCGAAAGTCCGAATTCCTCATTCCGGCCAGAGTCCGCGCGGGTATGCGGATTTTCCTTCGCCTTTCGCTGCCTGGAGGCTCGGTCATTCTTCCGGAAGATTGTATCCTTCGATGCTGATCCCGCCACTCCGAATCTGTGGTTTGTTCTCAGTCAGATCTATTCTACCGGGATCACATGCGAGTGCTCAACTCCGTCGTTTATAGGGGTATGGAAATCGGGCTGGTGCTCCATCGGCGAGCTCTTCTGGATGCGAAAATGTCTACATCGCTGGCTCGGGAAACTTCTAGATCTTCCAGACGGTGATCCCCAGGCAGTTTACCTTGTGTCGCTGATCTCGAATTTTATCCAATGAGCTCAACGACTACCGATTCCGACGGGAGCCTCGCGATCTTCTCGATACGTCTGCTTTGTCGGAAAATCATTGCGATCTTCTGATTGAGGTCGCGGTCAATGAGTCTGGGCATTAGCTTCTTATCTTCGTATGCATCTTCTCGTATTCATCCTACCTATCGTATTCCCTGGAAATTTTGAACTTCTCCGTCCATGAAAACGCCGGTTTCGCCGCGTCGAGATTCCTAGGCTTCGCTGGGCGTCTTGTGTGACTTAATCGGGAGTAGATGTTCAGCGGAAGCAAACCGTGAATCACCTCGAATCACGGCAGGAGTGCCCGTGTATTGGACATTCTTCGAGATGGAGAGTGATTCATGCTCCGGGCATGAATGCCTGACGCAATGTGACAGCCCCAACACTGAACTCCCGAACTTGCGATGACCTTGCCTCTCACCGGAAGCATCCCTCGCCATGGTTCTAGACTTGGAATTATGAATATTCGGCGCCCCCCAGGGTAGAATCTTTTTCAGAGCGCGGTTTGAAATCTGACCCTGGGAGGAACTACATAGCAGGAACAAGAGAAACGAGGATCGAACTGAATTTTCTCGGAAGGTCATACTCAGAGTTTGACAGCCTGCGATGCGTCGACCGGAGATCGAAAAGACCCAAATCAGCTGACCCTTGAATCGCGTCAGGAAGATCCGACGAGAGGATGCCGAGCTGTCGATAATCACGGAGTCCCGACCTTCGAGTCTTCTTGCGGCATTCGGGTCGCACGTGGCTATAGATTCTGCATGAGCACGAGCCTGTATCGGCTATTGCAACCCATTCTTTTGTTCGCATCAAATCGTCGGCTGTTGCGACATATCCCGGCTGTTTGGTGATGTCGATCTCTGAGGGATGCAAGCGCTCAATGCCTCCAGAAAGACATTTGAGCCAAGGTTATCCATCCGCTCCGTTCTTGCGGGACAGATATTCAGAAAGAGAAGTCAGGGAATCGAGGACTACGAAAATCAAGAACGACTAGCTTGCGGCACAAATTCAATCTCCTCAGGACCAAGATTCACGAGGAGAGCCATAAATTACATCCTGAGAGCTCTGTGTGAAAATTTAATTGCGTCTCTCCGAGATACGTTGTCTGGAACGTCATGTTCATCCTCGAAATCAGTAATGCGGCTTGACCTAGAAGCATTCGAAATGTCTCCCCTCCGTAGCTCGGAAAATCTATCTCTGAGAATGTCTCTGCGATTTCGATTTCGGATATCCTTCCCGGCTAATGGATGAACTGTTAATTAATTTGGAGAATTTAAGTCTTCTCGCGGTTTCCGCTGACTGTTCAGAGCTGAAATATTCCCAGCGATAGATATGGGAGCCCCCTAGCTACCGGGGACGTTTTTTTGCTTGTTTATGCGCTAGCCTGTAAAAAGGTCACCGTATCGGGCCCATCTAACTCATTGCGATCAACACAGACGATCCCTGCTCCTATTCCGTGCGCCCGAATGGAAGCACATCAGCTCGATGCCCGTTCAGAGCTGCATTTGGACTATAGTCGGTGCCCACTATACTTCAGACTATTTAACCAAAGTTCCCGCCCGTCCATCGAATTCTCGATCGAGCAACGGCTCTTCGACGAATCGTTGAGACGTTAGGATGCTGTATCTTTTTATCGACGACCACAGCGGCGCGACCACCGAGGTGCAGCTTCTTCCGCGGAAAAAACAGAATATCGTCGAGGGTCTAAGCGTCGACTAGGCCGTTCACTCCGGAGCAAGGAACGCTCACTCGTCGTCGAAGCGGACTGTCTGAGTATTTCGCTGCATCACGTGACGAGAGGATTTCAGCGACCAGATTTACAAAGGCGTCGAATCTTAGAAGGGAAAAATCGGAGGGGGGGAACAGATGCCGGAGCTCCTTGGAAAAGTGGCTTTCGCCACTACAAGTGAAGACGGAGCTCAGTCGGAGAGCTCAGGTTCGTGTCATCTCGCAATCGCAAGACACTTTCCCCTCTGAGTTTTTCTCGCAACGCTACGAGGTGTACTCCGCTCTCAGTCAGTCAGTCAGTCGTTCTCCGACCTTTAATGTCGAAACGGGATCCGACTCGGGACTCGGGACCCGGGAGCGCTCTCGGCGCCGCGCCGTTGCATGCGAGAACGATCTGTAAGGGAACCGCTCCCTTGCAGCTTCTATATCGATCATTGATTTTCTTCTGATTGGCGAGTTCCCCGAACGGATCAGTCGCTTCTCGTGAATCCATTTGTGTTTCGAATGATCGCTGACGTATTTTTCGTTCCTCGACACGCGTGATGGCCAGGCGTCCGTTGAGGAAGCAGAGATTCACTTCCTGGAGGCAGTTGCAAAACAAACACATGATTCCTTCGTTCACTTACAGCGCGGTGATACATCAGGAAAAGTTTATTGAGTTTCGCTGCAGCTCCGCTATTTTCCGTATTTCAATATTGATAAGCTTGAATATTCATACGTGTCGCTGGATTTGGAAGGAAAAAACTCAGTCGAAAGATTCCAGATAATGTATCAGAAAGTGCTCTCCGACCGAAGTTCATCGATGCTGCCCATCAACCCGTCAGTCGATGTTGCTCGTCAATGAAATCGGACTATTATGTGTAGTTCGATCGGAGGAGGAAAATATCCTAATGGTGGAGGAGTCGAGGTAGGTGATCTATTCGCTGCATCGGTGGTGATGAACAACATTCAGCGTCCTTCCCGGTAGTGACTCTGACCCGACAATGGACTCTCCACAGCTAGTTAAACTCAGGGT